CACGTGTAAATAACCGCGATACTATGTTGATAAAAAAAAAAAAAAAAACTAGAAATGGGGAAAGTAGGTAACCGCCTGGCTGTACAACTGTGTCTACAGTCATAGGAATCAAGCGTAACTAACGCGTCATTGAGTAGGTCATTGAAATGGATGTGTTAAATTTAAATTCAATGATAAATCATAGCATGAGAAAAAATGGAGATGATCTATCAGTCTATTATATAGGTATCATATGATTAAATTGATATTAATTATTATAGCAATTTATTTTATAATTAGTTATACAGCATAAGCTATATAAGATAATATATAAATGAAAACTTAACCTTGTATTCATTTTCAAATCTTAAGTATAAAAATTAAAAATACGTTCAAAGTTTATTTTTGTATAATCAACAGGTAAATATAATATACCAACATTTTATCTTTACTGCCAGCTATTAGACGCTAAATTTGGTTTTATGTTTTAATAATCGTGCATATTATTAATCAATGTAGACGAACCTTATACCAATTCAGTTTAAATTTTAAACCGTTTATTACATCATACGTGAAGTAATACTATAATGTGATAAAAATTGTAATTATTGCAAAGCGTAAACTGAAATAGAAAAATAAAGTTTGTATTCATTACACCTTGATCTATTATCACAAAATACTAACTGCTCATGAATTACATAGGTACCTACTAACTATTTAGATAATACAATAAATTATAAGTATATGATAATATATGGTCCGTACTCCGTGGACCGTGGCCCGTGCTATTAATTATTATCCAGTTGGGCGTCAGGCCATCAGCTTTCAGCAATTGGTAGTTGTTACCCGACGGTCGATAGGCGACACCCATCAGTCAGTCAGTCATCATTCATCACTCACCAGTGTTACGGAATACTGGGATTACAAAAATAACTTGTTACTTTTTATTTTAAAACATTAAATTATGTAATAGGAATAAGATACATTAAATTCAAGTTGAAATGTTACTTCAAAAGAAACTTTTAAGCTTAACTTTAATTTTCTGACCAGCTTTGTCAATCATACACATTCTGACACATGTATACTTACATGTCCGTATGTCGCCAATCTTTTACATAATCTGTAGTCAATGAGTACCTAATAATTTTCGCTAAAAAAAAAATTATTGTAAATTTGCCTTTTTGACCATCGTAAGTATACTTACTTTAATAAATATGAAAGTGGAAAATGAATTATAGTTCACTATAATTAGTAAGTACTTCTCTTTTTTATCTAATACCCATATCAAATAAATCAATACTTAAAAATATTTTGATCGTTGCATATTATTGTATTAAGATAGACCATATTATTATTATACTAGCAATTATACAATGTAAATTTATTTCTATTTAAAAATTTATATGGGAAATAATAATAAAATGCGAGAAATATACGTATTATTAAACACACACAAAATTACCACAATACTTATATTTTTAACATGAGTGTATTTAAGATTTTTACGAGCGGGACTTCGCTTAAAATTAAAAATATTAAACACAATAAATTATAGTAAAATTTCTTATTTTTAAATTTAAATTTGATTTTTTAAAGCAAATTTCTTCAATAATGTCATCAGCTGTGTTTATTTTTGTTTCTCACTTGGGTTAGGTTAAGTTAGATAATGTAATAACGTCAAATCTCTAAGTGTTAATAAATACTACATTAATTTCACAAATTAAAAAAAAATATACTATATTTTTTTCAGTAATTAGTACTTACAATAGTTAGAAAAATAGGTTAAGTAACTCTTTTATTATACAGTGAATAAGTGGTATAAGTGCACCTCTTTATTGAATAAATCGATGTAAATGATGTTATGTGTATTATGTGAAATTATTACACATATCTTCCATATTTCTTCTGCAGTAAAGATAATATAATTGGACGTTATCTTTTACTTCCCCATTTCTGTTTCGTATTATTAAATACTAGTCTATAAACTTTTTTCTCGAATAGACAAGATTTTTTATCATCACCTCTCGTCATTACCCATGTAACACATGCATATATCAATACAAATCGGATATCAATGTATATGGGGTTTGCAAAACCCAGTCTGACATATTATAGACAGTATCGTACTGTTGATTGCTAAAATAGGTGGTCATAAGAACAGATCATTTTAACTGTAAAATCGATTTTAAATTAATTTTGAGCCACCACTAAATTCTATAATAAATTATGTCTAATAATACATTTGTATAAAAATTAAGTAACGGTACCTATTCATACAATCGTACCTATAATCTAGATATAAAATGTTAGCTAACAATACTATTTGTTTATTTATCACAATTATACTCGTACCAGTACTGAAATTTAAGTATTGTTATTTGTTATATAGATTATGTAAATGTGTAAGTTCCTACTTTATATTGTTCATTTTGGATTATTTATGTTTCAATGTTTGATTAATGCATTTTACGTCAATTATAAATTATATCTCCTGTCTAAGTGTAAATAATGAATTGATTCAATAAAAAAAATTATCATAGGTACTTAGATAGTACCTACTTAAATATCGTACCCATAAATATTCTAACAAACAAATATGTCTACGATTATAAGTTAAAACTTATCTATAATCTAGCTTTTATTTAAGCTATTTATTTAGGAACCTATCTAATAAGGCCTTAATTCAACGCAATGTTCAAAATATTAAATAAATATATATCAAATATTGAATATGTATATGTTACTGACAAAATAGACTATCTGGCAAAGTTTTATATTTCCCGGTCAATGTATAGTGTATACTTTGCCTCGTGTTTTTGGATAATATATTAAAAATACTATTTTTATCATGTAGGGTTGTACTTTAACCGATCCAAGTTACTTTTCCCGTAGTAAATTGAACATTTTAACTTAAGCTATCAACAAAACTTTCCATTTTCGTTTAATGTGTTAAACAAAGTAAGAGTAGATATAGTGATACCTACTATATTATAGTCAATTTAGTACGTATTATATTTTTTAAAGTTATATACGCACTTTTATATTTATATTTTATAAAGTAATTGGTATGAGAGTAAAGAAGCAATTTTTGGATGCAACGTAAAAATTGGATTAAAATTATCGGTACATCCAATATCAATAATTAATAAATTAAAAACTGAAGAAAATTTAGAAGTAACTATAACATCTATGAATACTGGAAATCATTGTGAAGTTGATAAAATATTGGTTGAAAGAAAAATAGATAAAATAATAAATAAAATAACTGCTGTAAGAACAGAGTCAGTTGTAAATTTTATAATTCAAGCGAATTGGTTTACATTGCCCAACCTAAACTGAGCAATTTTATACAGCCTGAGCAAAGTATAATTTTGCCTACATTGCCCATCATAATCGGACAATACCATAATGCCCGGCCAATGTAAACATTGCACGATAGTCTACTTTGCCCGTAACATATATTCTGATGGTACAAACCGATGGTAGAAACTAGAAATGTTGTCAGAACTAAACACAAACATACTAACATTATTTAATATTAAAAACATTATGTTACAATTAATCATATCTAGTCTATGGAAAATTATTCTAGACGTATAAGTACATATTATTCGATAAATATACATTTACCGCGGTTTTTAATTAGCCTCATTAGGTAATAAATAGTTACTTTAAAATCTGATATTCGTTGATTTAGAGGGGGTATGACAAAAATGTAGACCTCACATTTTAATTAAAATTAAAAACAACTCAATAACATCATCCATTATAGATCTGTTGCTGTGTATTAAGTATGTTATTATACTATATTGCATTATTATGTTAATAACTATGCTTATGTTGGTTTCTTTACAAAAATTTAACAAAATATTTGTAGTAGACAATAGCCAATAGGCTACATGCGTGTATAACGGGTATTAAGCATATTATTTTCATAATATTAGCTTATTAGTCCATACACGTCCAATAAATTAGACGTATATTCGTATATACTTACATGACAAACGATTATTGTAGTTGCTTACGTCTCGTGTTAACGAAAAACTCGAGTAATTTCGTCACAGTCTTCAACTCTTTTATTTACTTTACGTTTAAATTGCTATATCACAGAGATTAGTGAATATTAACCACTACTTCAGAGTTCAGAATAAACCCTTTAATATACATTTCTTATAAACAATATCAGATTTAATTTATAGTATTCATGAGAATAAATTTTAAAACATTAAACAATTAAACAGCACATTAAGTAAGCCAAACTTAAATAATAATAAAATAGTATTCTATACACTTAAATTACCTTTCTATACGAAAATTCCTCTGGCGTGTAAGATTCAGCTTGGGATTCACGCAGTTATACTTTTCCTAAGATAGTAATGAAGTTAACTTCACGACATCGTGGTAAGTACTAAAAACAGTAAAGAAAAGACCATGAACTCATAGTACGTACTAGGAACAGTAAATTATACTGGCGACTGAATGGCTAATGAGAAAAATTAAATTGTTGTTTTCCCTACGACTCGTAGGTACGACTTAGGAGTTAATGTAAATTGGTAATCGATGTTTTAAATTTCAATAATATTTTTATCATATAGACCTAACATAACTTATAACCAGTCTAGTTCATCTTAGCACTCGGTGTATCGAGCGTAACCATTAAGATTAGAAAAAATAGTGGTTAGATTGTATTTTACTATAATTTTTGGACCTCTCATCTGTCAGAACCTCACGGTTGTCGACGTCAAATGTCAAGATGGACTGAACGAATTTTAACAAAATAACGACATTGACAGATCGACTGTCGATATTTATTATTTAACTACAACATCGGTCATCTCTGTATGATAATAATTTGGATTCTCGTTTCTCAAATGATCGCGTGACGTGTGTGCAGTGTGCACTGTGCAGTGTGTACCGGCTAGCACCGCCACCGAGTGTGGTACTGCAGTTCACCGCTTGTGTGCGCACGCAGCTTTTGATAACGGATTGTTAGTTGTTACAATAATAATCGAATATTGGAATAATAAATTAACAAATACCTAACTATTTATATTATTTTTTTCTCAGCTGACGACCTCATGTACGCAAGTTTTCCTCACTCCGATTATCACCGTTTGTAACTTTAATACCTCTACACGTCTACACGTATATCATAATAACATTACACTAAACGCGGTTCCACTTGAGGTCATCTCTTATCTCATACTCTCTTCTTCAGTCTTCATCCAGTATTTATTTAAGATCTCGTTTTGTGACCGCACCGGCGTCCGGCAGTCGATCGAACGCCATTCCTAAACAGATATCTTCCGCTAACCAATCAAGTGGCTATACCCGTTGACTAAATTTCACGAGGACGCACACAAACCACGACTTCGACGATGGTGAGTATAAACGTCAGTTCTTTTTTCCCTACAAGTATAAATCGAAAATCGAACTTTCTCAAATTAGAATAGTCGATGATTTTTGCTCTCGCAGTAATTACCATTTTCCTGTGACCTTTGTGTCCTTCAATACTTCTACGATTGTGTGGAGACGTCTGTGGGTGATGTTACCGGACAGATAGACAACTAACCAACTTGGTGTCAAGACTGTCTTCAGTTTCATCATCCTGTCCTACAAACATATAGATTCCAGAATGATTATGTTATTTATTCAACCATAGCTCAACACTTGGATTGAAAATTATGCAATTTTTAAACCAATTAGACATTATACTTATTTTAATATACACCAAATTGCACTGCTTTGAAAAAACTATTTTATGTGCATTTGTGTCAAGAATCATTATGTATAGGTCAGCAGTTCTCAAACTTTTTTGATTCACACATTACCATAAACAAAAGAATATTATAACACCTTTTGTAGAAACAAGATAATAGTTATTGTATAATACTATAATGGTATTATGTATACTATATTAATGTTTGGAAAACAACATTAGGAGTTTAGGAAGTTTTTAGAGCCCGTCAAATTTCAATGAACATACTTAATAGAAAAAATTAAAAGCAAATAAATTTGATTAATAATAAAATTTCATTTAATTTGCAATTTGATGCAAACATTAACATACAACTCCCCATCTAGTGTTTAAATGTTTTTCATGGTTAAAATGCTCTGGCATTTTAATAAAAAACTAGTTGAATTAAAATATGTTACTAATATTTGAATTACTTATGCAACTTCCTACCTAATATTTAATTGTAGCTTTTATAAATTGTTAAAGTATAAAATAAAAATAATAAAAAACCTTCAACATTGTTTAACCAAATTTTAATATATTTACTATCTATTCTGCTGAAGTTTTTTTTCAATATAATTATAATAATCTATACAAGTTAAAATACTATTTAATTACTAACCTTTGTATGTTATATAAAGATAACATTATTTTTTTTTTAAGCACTTATTTCAAGTCAATTATAAAATATCTTTCTAGTCGTATGCATTTATTATAACTGCCATGTTATGTGATTTATTTTAAAATAAAACTACCTACGATTAAATATATTTCAAATTATATTTTGTAATAAATCTTAGTTTTTGAAATCTATGTACATTTTTACTCTTATTTCAAGATCTTAAAATTTATAATTTTGTTTATCAGTGGGTTATATTATTGTGTTTTATTAAAAAAAAAAAAATAATAATTTGTATAAAAACTGTAAATATTAATCTAAAAAGAATAAACATATGTGTGTATACTATTTTTAAATCGTTTATACCTATTTCTTTTAAGTTTAATTTAATTGAATAGTTTGTTATCTTTTTGAATTGCATGTTTTAAATATATTTAGAGGAAATAATAAGGTACTGTTAAAATGTTATCTGGATAAAATAATAAATATTGAGTAGTTTGATTAATTCTATGTTTAACTTTTAATATTTTATGTAAACAATTTCTATCATTTCTATTATCTACCATTTATTTTCAATCACAATTAATTTTAATTTATATTTTACAACTTACAAGGTTACCTATTCTAGAATTTGTAGTTTGACATTGTAAACTTAAAATATGTTTTTTTTTAACCAGTTGAACCAGATTTTTTTTTAAACTGCTAAGATAGTTATATACTTGGTTAAATGTCTTCTAGAATAAATTAATTCACAATATTCCAAACTTGAAATCATGCGTTTTTTTCCCTTTTATTATTTGATTGTTAAAAATGAATATCGTTAAGAAACCAAATTAAATTATATACTTATTTAATGAATAATAATACTCTATTATTTTTCTATTCTACTTATTTGGATATATTAAATTATTTTTCATAATAATTAATAAGTTAAAATTAAACTGAGAAATTTCTCAGCTGTATAGAAGGTAACCTCACCATTGAGTAGGTTGTATATAAAATATTTAAATACAATAAACAATTATATGTAGAGGCAGTATATCAGCCTCTAATTCTAATGGTATTTTATACATGCTTTACTTTTTTCATTAGTAAAATATGGTAAATTAAAATAATTTTTTCAAAAACATTAAATTAATTTTATAGGTAATAATAATTATAATATCATTTTATATATTATTGATATTAATTTATTTGTTTATAATGAGGTACAGTAGAATGACTTAGAATAAGTTATAAGTATAAATACTTAAAATTACTTTAAATATTTTAAAAATTTCATCAGTAGAATGTTACAAGTTATTATGGTTATTACTTTTTTGAATTACAACAAAATAATAAAAATTGTATGAAACTGTTAATTTATGTTTATTAATATCTAATTTTTTCTAATTTTTAACTTCAAATACTCATAAGAAAAAAAACCTATGATTTTATACTTAATTTTTTTGTTTTTACAATTTTGACAAGAACAACAATATTATGAGGAAATTTTTCAAGTATCTATGTTTACTCATTTTTGAATAAAACTGTCAATATCTAGTGTTATGTTACCTGATTTTTTTTTGTAATTCTTTTCTAATATTTTCAAGATTATTGAGAAATTTTTGTTTTTGAAACAAAGAAAAAGATCACTAAAAATTTAACTGTATGGTAATATTTATTTTATTTTTATTAGGCTGAAAGTGAACCAATCCGTGTAGTGGTAACTGGTGCTGCTGGTCAGATAGCATATTCATTGATATCTATGATTGCCAACGGTGATGTATTTGGAAAGGAACAATCAGTAATCTTACACCTCTTAGATATTCCTCCTGCAATGGGGGTTCTTGAAGGTGTCTGCATGGAAATTGATGACCTTGCTTTACCTCTAGTCAAAGGTTAGTTAATTTATTTCAAATATAATATTGTTATAATTTGATTTGCTAATAAATAAATTTTATATTTAGGCTATGTAAAAACAACTGATCCAGAATTAGCATTTGAAAATGTTGATGCTGCTTTTTTGGTGGGTTCAATGCCGAGAAGGGAAGGAATGGAAAGAAAAGATTTGTTATCTGCTAATGTAAAGATATTTAAAGTACAAGGTGAAGCTTTGAACAAGTGTGCTAAAAAAGATGTTAAAGTTTTGGTTGTTGGAAATCCTGCAAACACTAATGCTTTAATATGCTCATATTATGCTCCTTCCATACCTAAAGAAAACTTCACTGCTATGACTAGACTTGATCAAAACCGGTATAAATAATATAATTTAAATAATTAATAGTTGTACATTCACACCTTCAATACTATGCTTATTTTAAAATTTAAAATATAGAGCCCAATCAGCTATTGCTAAACGTCTTGGACTATGTGTAAGCAATGTCAAGAATGTTACAATTTGGGGTAATCATTCATCTACTCAATTCCCAGATGTTTTCAATGCATCAGTTAAATCGTCTGGCAGCTCAAAAAGTGTATATGATAGCATAAATGATTCACAATGGCTTGAAGGTGAATTTATTAAGGTAATAAATTATGCTGAACTGAATTACATTCTTTACTATAATACATAAAATAATATTTTGTAATGTTAAATATTGTTTCACTATGATTTTTTTCTGAAAACTACATTAAAAATATATGTATATAAAACTATATCAATAATATTAAAATATTAAATAGTAAATACTAAATATCATAATTAATTAAATTTTAGACTATTCAAACTAGAGGAGCCGCTGTGATTCAAGCTAGAAAAATGTCATCAGCTATGTCAGCTGCTAAGGCAGCAGTTGATCACATGCGTGACTGGTGGTCTGGAACTTCAGATGGTTGTTGGGTTTCAATGGGAGTTATTTCTGATGGTTCATATGGTGTGCCAAAAGGTTTAATTTATTCTTTGCCAGTATCCATTTCAAATAAACAATGGAAAATTGTCCAGGTATAGTTTTATAAAAGAAACTTATTATTTTTAATTTGACTAATTGCTATAATATTATTGATATTGTATAGGGTTTGAAAATAACTGACTTTGCAAAGAACAAATTGGATTTGACAGCTAAAGAACTACTCGAAGAAAAAGAAGAGGCTTTTGCTGTTTGTAATGCTTGACGTGTGTTACCCCCAACCAACTGTAAGCTCTGAATCTGCTGCTGCTATATCCCGGGCACGATTTTTTTTTACTAGTGATTATACACGAGGTTTGGGGGTTATCCCTATCTCAAGATTTTTGTCATTCATTAGTCATACTTACCGTGATACATTCATTCCCAAAAATGTATGCATTCTTTATAATTAATTTAAATGTTACTACCTCTGAATGTATTTAGTATGTATCATAATATTTATAACAATTATGGTAATGGAATTTTTATTTTTATTTTAACATTAAAGAAATATATGAGGTGCCCGGATATAAATTATTGTTTATTTAATTTTTTGCTTGGTAAAAATTTGTAGACTAATTCTACAAAATATTTTCCAAGTATATAATACTATACTCAAATTATTTTTTATTAGTACTGCTGAATATTAATTCTACTGAAACAAAAATAATAGTATATTAAATAAATGGTTATATATTTTAATTAATGTTACCATTTAGGAATTTAATTTATTTGCATTAAAAATCAATGTGTTAAAATAATCAAACATTTAAAATTTATGAAAATGTTTTTATAAAGTTTTTTTATAAAAAAAATCAATTATTTTAATTTATTATTAAACAATAAATAACTCGTGTTTATAAAAACTGAGTTTAGACACATATACATTTTTATATCTTTTGCATTAAGCTATTAAATTTTATCAACTGATATTTATTGGTATATTTTATGTTTAATACACTATATTATTTACCTTAAACTAAACAATACTTTTAAATCATAAATATATGCAAGCTATCCATGGTGGAATAAAAATGTCTTTATTCACTAAAGATTCCTGTGCTAATAAACTTGTTATTATAAATAAACTTACGTTTATTCTTTTTAATGTAATTAAACTTTACCAATCAGGTAAGCCGCATACTAGAGAAATTATAAACATGTAACAAAAAATTATAATTGTATTAAATTGTCCAATACAACTGCTGAGAAAACCACACTAGTTTTTGTGCAATTATTTTAATTTTTAGTTTCTGAAACTGATTACATGAAATTTTTCATTCCGGTTTCATAAACACTTTTGTGCTATGAGGTACATTTTCTACATTTTAATACTGTAATTGTGTCATAAATTAATCTATACTACTATATAAATTGTAAGAGGTTTTCTACGACCACACTAACCAAGAAAGCTACTGAATCGATTTGGCTGGAATTTTTTACTGTTATACCTGATAGTCTGTTGAAGGTTTTAGTACCACTTTTGTGAATAAAACATAAAATAAATTAAGAAAAATGAGAATTTTTTTGCATATCCAATATTATTATTAAAATTATTGTGTTGTAACCATGGTTACCATTAAAACACTTATGTTGTAAGAGTTGTTATAATTACACGGAATGAAATTTTGAAAATGTCTAAATTAATTTAAAGATATTATCTAACTATTTATACCATGCATTTATTCACACTGTTTTATTGTAAGATTTAATTAACTCATAAGTTAATAATAAAGTTCTTAAAAAATTAAAAAATAAAGCTAATTTTAGAGGCCTCTGTGAAGATCCACAAGAATAGGCCTTTTTTATGTTCCTATTTTGTGACAACATTATTTATTTTTTTCACAGTTTTTCTAAATACCCTCCTGAATATCACCATATTACCTCATTTTTAATTTTTTTTCATCTGTAGGGGGTATATTGTATTCAAATGTTCCAATTTTCTGAGAACACTATTTAACATTTTTACAATTTTTTTTCAAAAGGTTATACCAAATACTTAATACCACTAGAAACATTTCAATATATTTTCATTAATCGTTTTTATATTTTCTAACTAATCAAATTATTAAACAATAAAATTTGAATAAAAAAATTCTACATATCATCATTCAAAGGCAAAATAAACAACCTGTCACAGCCAAAGCCATGACGGGTTGGCTTGTTTATTTATACAATTACTTTTTTTCACATTTTTTGTTGATTTTTTTTTACATTGAAATAAATAAAATAAGTAGATATATATATTTTTTAACCAATTTATACTTTACAGTAAAAACAATTATAATTAGCATATTATGTTGTACTTAAAGAAATTTCTAAAAAGAAGACATCGTGTTTAATACATAATAGGTTGAAATAGTCGAGAGTAAAATTACATCATCCTCTTTTGACCATATTTTGAAAACTGATCATTATTCATAAACATTACTTAAGTTTCTTCAATATACTGATTAATGTAAAACTAGTTCCTATAAACAAATTGCATTTAAAAAATTTTGTGTTTATAATTTCATTAGTGCACAGCTCGTCATAAAATAAATTAAAAAACATGAAAAACTTTTATATCAACTACTTCAATAATAATAGAGATTGTATATAAAATCTCTCGCTCTATAAATCTCTATTTGAGTAAACCATTCCAGCGACCTTGTGTCATAGAACTGCATGATATGGTTTATCCAATGCTGAGTTTGGAAAATGTTTTGCAAATGATAGGCTGTCATTGGTATAACAATTTTAAATTTTAATGATTTGATTATATTACAAAATATATGTTTCCCTTCCATCATTGGATTCCATAGCCAATTTTCCCAAATCCTACATTTATTTTTCTTGCCTTCTGATGTGTTAGCTGTTTGCTTTAAAAGGTTAATTTCTGCTTTCGATATGTATAAAAATTTAGAATAAATGCTACTGAGAAAACAAAGATGCAATTGCTGATATTAGTGAAAACTAATACATTCACAACACTGAATCATATTCATTGTTACTTTAAAGAATTTTTAATAATTTCCTCTAATCATTTAGTCCAGTATTAAAAAAGTATACATAAAACAAAAACTGTCAACAACTAGTTACATAGTTATTGATATATTTTTTGCATTGATTTGTGATAAAAAAAATTTTTATTATACATTAAAATTGAATAATATTGAATTAGTAATTACTATAATGCAAGTGCAGTGGTAAAAATATTATTATTGTGGTCACCTTAATCATCTTGATGAAACCAGTCTGTTGATTGAAAAAGTAATAATAATATTGCGTTTTATCATATTATACTAAAACCAGTCATTTTCTTTTTGATGAGTAAAAAATGTGTTGGTATAATTGAGAGTATTTAAAAACAATTAACTTAATTAAATTATTATATTTCTGATGATTTGTAACTTAGTTACTTAAATTAATTTGTATTTTAGAACTAACATGAACAACTTAGCTTAATTATATATTGTTTTAGAATAAAAACATAAACTAGTTAAAAAAAAATAGCCAACTTCTTGTCCAGCTTTGCAGAAACATTGATTTCTTCTAAAATATAATGTATTATGTATTAAACAGTGAATTTTGATGGACACTTCTCTTTGAAATGGCACTATTTCAATATCATAATTTTCACACATTCAAGCAGTTTTCACTTATAAACATCCATGAAAAAAATTAGTATTTTTTTTTTTATGACCTAATGAGTCCTAAAACAGTTAGTAAGTTTATGTCTGACCCCAGTAGAAAAACACTATATAGTTTTTAATACTGAAGAAAGGAAATGATCGAATACTCAAGTGTAAAATAATAATAATTTAAATGTTTTTATCTGCTGGGCTACTGTTGGATATCAAACTCATTCTTTTCCTCAAACATCTGTTTTGTAATTTCTGTAATTTAATTAATTGCAAGCAGTGGCGTAACTACGGAATGGCAAGGCATGGCAATGCCCCGGAGCCTTGGACTTGGTGGGCCCCGGAGGGGCCTTCGACCCTCGTACATACAATTTGTATTATAAAAAATGATGTACAAACATTTGAATTTTATTTTAAAATTCACGAGACATGTACTGTTATTACTTATTATGATAGGAAAAAAGTGAAAAACAGCTTATTATTGGAAAACAGAAGATGTTTATTTTTTATATTAATATCACGATGTGTATAATGTATATAGAATCTTGTATCTTGGATTATTATGCGATAAAAATAATAATCGTCGTTAGGTTAACTCGTACACATAACACATACTATCCAGTATCCACTAACATAGATTAAATATACTAGTATATTTAATCTATGCCACTCATCACTAATGGCAATCGTACAACGATTATTATTATTGTCGTAATATTAATATTAACATCGTCTATTTTTCATTTTGTTCATCTACACGTCATTTTATATTTGATTGTCGAATCGTCTGGACAACTTGCATAGAACAAGTAAGTTTAACTTTTAAGTTATAATGTGTGTTATACCGTGTGTTTAAAAAGTTTGGAAACACTTAAATTATTGTTTAAAAATTGTAATACCTACCTACTATACAGGAATAAAGTGGCTATTTTTTTTTAAACTTTGGTATTATAAATATACGGAGGCCAACACTTTATAGTTTATACTGCCCTGGGGACCCAAATGTATAGTTACGCCACTGATTGCAAGATACCAGTATGGAATAGTTTTCTGTAACTATAACTGTACTAATAACTTCTGACTAACAAGGTTATCTCATGGTAAAAATATATTTTAGTTTTTCACTAGTACTGTACATAAAGGTACACAATTTTCTATAGTTAACTGTATTATTGAAAAAATGTAGTAACTGGATTATGTTAACCAACAGAATAAACTAAAACAAGATTTAGGTAATAATAAAAACAATTATTTGAAAAAAATTCTTGACAATTTTCTTCTTTAATCTCTGCTTGCACTTCTCTGGTACTATTGAATATAATTGAATGACATGACTCGTACCAGTATAAAAACTGAACATTGACTAAGGTCATTTGACTCAAAAATTAAAATTGTTCACATGTTATTTTTCTCATCAACTATTGTCTATTTACAACAATATTATATTACTTTAAGATATACAGGTTATACTATAACCAACTGCAAATATTCTGCGAAATTACTAATACCTATGGTTATAGTAACGGATTTATAGTAATTGTTAAAATTCATGAAATGGATGAAGATACAAATACGGTTTTCAGAAATTTTATTGAAATAAAATAATATTACTATCTATATAGTACTATATGTAGAACAATAATACAGTGAGTTTTTTTATTATCATAAACACAAAGTATTGTTAGAAAATCAAGTAACATAAAAATAATAAATTTATATAAAACATATCGCCAATCACTGTGACAATGTATTGTCATTTCTTACATTTCTACAACTAAAATGGATGAAGATTTTTTTTTAATTCTCTCACAGGAACAGAGTAAAACAATTGTGTCCCAGAAATCAATGGTCAATCTGATACTATGAAAATTGTAGTCAGAATATTTTCAAAACTTATATAAACTGCACCCCTAAACATTAAAAAAAAAAATAAATGCCAATTAAATATTAATACATATATTAGTTTGAAAGATTAAGAAACAAAAAATTGGAAAATTATAGAATAAGATACCCATAAATTCTATTATTAATAATTACTAATTTTCAAACATAACCATTAATTTTTACCACATACATTTTAATATAATTTATTATATTACCAGTTCTAAAAACAATATTAATTTTTCTGAAAAATCTCTAATTATTGTATTTTACATATTATGATTAGTGTTGAAACTATAGTTCAAAAACAATTAAAATGGAGCATAATTAACTGTGACCTCCACATATAATCACACTTGGTATTGAATTCAGACAATTTTTCTCACTTTCTTTTTATTGGTGAATGGCGATACATTTTAGTATTATGAATTATACCTATTATTAGTTATTACAATTTATAATTTAGACATTAAGTGTAGTAATCGTGAAGAGTATTGTGCATTTAATAAATAGATACGCTTTGTTAAAAGTTGAATTTGTCAAGGGGTGTGAAAAAAATTTCAGGGGGAGTGAATGCTCTCCCTGAGTATACCTAGATTCAACACTGATCACACAGCACCACATTATTTTTCTCTAACATGTACATACTTGTCATAAATTCATTCTTCAGTTATATACATAGGTAACTAGGGTTTAGTTAAAAAGTAAAATGTTTCTAAATTAACATAATTTATTAGTATTCTTCCTTAAAATACTATTTAAGTACAATAATTACCATAATTTATTGGATTGAACATATTGTTTCTTTAATTTTTTTTTTAAATACCACTTAAGTACAAAAACTAACATTCAAAATTATAAATAATTATATTATATTTTAATTAAATAATTTAATTTTAAAGTTAGCATTAAAAATAAATGTATATTAAATTAACTAATTAAAACTAATACTACTAAGTCAATTTTCTAAATTTAAATTTAATTAAAACCACAACTTATTCATTTTTTTTAGAATACTAGGCGTTTAAATTAATTTAATGTTAAAAATATGTACAAATTAAAATTTTATAAAAAGAAGGCTGTTTCAATTTTAAAATATTTTACACAAATTTTATTTCAAATCGTAAAATCTTGCTTAACTAATAATAATTATTATCAACAATTATTATTAGCTAATATTATTACATCATACATTTTTATATAATACTAATTCAATTAATATTAATTTGTTATATTCTTTATGATTATACAATAAAAAGTATTTTCAAAATTACATCAGTTAAAATAATACATTAACTATTATCAATACAATATTTTTCATAATTTTTAATAATTAAATGCAATATTCTGTTAGTAAAATGCAACTTAAACAATATTTTTTTATTTTAAAGTGAGTTATGAGCATTTTAAAATGCTAATTCAATTAACTATAATAATACAGAGAGCCAAAATATCTTAAAAGTTATAAGTCTAGTAAATTCAGATTTAAATATTTTATAAAAATGTCAAGTCTATGAAATTGTTTTTGAACTACATTAAATAAACATTTTTGGTTTTATCAAAAATTGATTTAGTATAAAAATCTTCTGAAAATTTTACTTTTGACTGTCACTAACTACCAATTAAGTTTTTAGATCTAATTTGCTTTCCAGAATCTTCTTTCTTGACATTGAATATATTTTCCTCTGTAAAATGTGACCTTAAGCACTAAAACTAACAAAAATTTATTTTATTAAAATATTATATAAAACAAAAGAATTGATTGAAACATTTTTTTTACCGATTTAATTTTGTTAAATGTATTGATTTTATAAACATTGTCTTGCAAGTTTTCTTCAAATTTCATTATTTATTTATTTATTTATTTTTTGTTAAACTACCTATAAATATTTGAAAACTTTTTGGTAAATTTGAGTTATCGCATGTGAACTGAAAAACTCTTTAAAAGGATGTTACACTCGCATAAAATGTAGCATATTCTAAAATATAGTGAATATCTTTCAAAAAAAAAGACAATTGAAAATTTTGTCAAGAAAAATACAAGATCACAAATAGGCTTAAGTTACTTTACCCATTTATTTACATCACAATCTAGTTTTTTCGTGTTCATTCAAATGCTTGAGCCAGTTTACTTTTCTTCGACATTTTTTTATACAATATATGCATGGATAACACATGTTTTTTTCCATTTTACTAAAATTTAAAAATTTTAATCAATCCTTTTAAATATTTTATAAAATTGTAATTGTGACTAATAAACATAAATATTCATTTAATCTTACGCCAATTCTGCAAGTGGGACATCTTCTTCTTTTGTTAAAGTTAGTTTACAACTTTTTGCATGGTTTTTAGCGGCAGTTTCACTTAATAACAATTTCATACAAATTTTACATGGCCATACTGTTTTATATTTGAAAGTATTTAGATTGGTTTCGTATCTGCCCATAAATGGAGGACAGAATAGTTTTTCGCGAAGCTTATTTTCCAGGCGACCTTTTTTTTGCAATTGATTCTTCATTTTTGATTAGTTCTTCATTAGCGATTGGAACATCTTTTACAACTTTAGATCGATTACTTTTACTTGGTTTCAAATTCATATTTTTTTTATTCACTGAAAATAATAACGTTTTATATAAAAATCGATTTGAAAATAAAATCAAACAAAATAATATTGCACATTTTTTTTCACGACGCTTATATTTCGGGTGGCCTTTTTTTGCAACTGATTCTTCATTATAGATTAGTTCTTTTTTGACGATTAGTTCTTCGTTTGTGATTGGAACATCTTTCACAATTTTAGATTGATCACTTTTACTTGGCTTCAAATTCATATTTTTGTTATTCACTAAAAATGATTACGTTTTATATAAGAATCAATTTTTAGATTAGAACTGAAGTTACATATTTTTATTACGAGTGTAAGTTCAATTAATAGTGCATGAATGCACTAACGACTATACAAATGAACACGTATTTATTTCAATCAATACATTTAATTATCAAAGCAGATACTATATATATTTTCATCTTAGGTATTATGATGTACCTCATATTTCATTACCATTAACTTATAAGTCGACATAAATTTACTATTTACTTTAGAATAGATTGAATAAATTTGGAATATAATTTATACTGAATAAAAGGGCAATGATTTAAATCTAAATATTTTGAAAATATCATAGGGTAAAACCATTATAAAATACAGTTATGGTTCTACCTATCTTAAAATTGGTTTTTTAATTAGGGTTTAACAAAATAACTAAAATATAGTTGCTTTTTATTTAATATTTATTACAACTAAATTTTAATTTCAAATGTCTAAAAATAATGTGTTTATATATATTTTAGATTTTTAGGTTTCAGTAAGAATTATTTATGAGAAAAAGTGCATTAAATGGTCAAGCCTAAGATAAAAATTAACATTTTAAAATATTGTTTGAGTACAATGATTAGTGATTCTGGTAAATGATGCCAACATTTTCAAAATAAAGTCAATAAATTCAATAGAACTATATCTTATATAATGACCATTTCAAACGCATACACTTATTAATAATACGATTCTCTACCAACACATCCGTTTATTTTACAAACTTACAGCTATTAACCAAGAACTAACTGTTTTTCAGGTAGAGACTCGGGAACTTAAAAGTTATATAGGTACTCACTTGTAGTTCCTAGTGTAAAAAGTGCGACAAACCTAAAACCAAGCATATGAAAACGATATTAAACGTAAGTTCTAATATTAATTTATTACAATAGTATATACAATTATGTCTTACGTATGGTTATGCTGAGAAGGCGTCTGAAAACAATTGAGAAGACATAATACACGACAGACAGAATTGAACGGTATTTGAATCTATCACGGTGACACCGGAAACTCGATACACAGCAAGCAGCGGCAAATTCACATAGGTTCGATTCACGACTGAAGATAACTAATGATTAATAGTTAAATACTTTAATAAACAATAAAAATGGTTAATTATGGACGACTGATTTGCCTAGAATGCAAGTAGGGATGCGAAAAAAAATATCAACATCATTAAAATGTCGATATTTTTACATTGATATTAAAATTTCGATATTTTTGACCTATCGATATTATTGTTCTAATACAGGTGCGGATCCAGAAATTTTTCATAAGGGAACCTAACCAGATCAAAAAAGAAAAAGAGAGGCTATCAGATAAAAAAAAAGCATAGAAAGATCATAAAAAAAAAACATTTTGATTCGGTAGTAATATTATTCGAAAAAATTGTCAACATTAAACTATTTTAATTAAAATAAAAATTGAGAGACTATTAACAATACATCGATAAATCGAAATAGTGATAAATCGAATTTGACATCGGTTTTCGCATCCCTTAATGCAGGTCACTACAGCGCGGTTTAAGGATATAATGTATTTTTTTTGGTCCAAATAGAGCGTTGTTATAGTTACGGCGGTTGTAGTAAGCAGACGTACCAACTGTTAGACGTTGAACATCTGGAGCATAGAACACTATAGAAGCGACACTCACCCCTCCACTTTTATTTTCTTCATTTCGGAGCGACAAGAATGATGTTGTAAGCTTGGCGGTAAGACATGATGTTACGAACACTTTTAACATCGAAATGCATTGCTCGAGATCAGCCCGCCAATTTTTAAAAAAAAAAGGTCACTGCATATTACCACTTAATAAGATTTGTATAACCCCTCTTCCTTGAAATTTTTTTTTTAGGAGGGCGCATTCAACATTTTTTGCCAGGAGAGCCACCAATATGCCCCGTCTTTTATGTTTATGGGTCACACTGTATGTAATTTATAAATATTATTATGTATATATTTTGTTAAATTGTCTTATAGAAGGTAAATAATTCATATTCATTGTATATATTAACATTAATTGTCAATGATGTTAAATAATAATGCATTAATAAAATCATGTCCGAAAAACAAACTACTTACAAATTTATTGAATAAATATCTTAAAAATATATTAGCCATCATAAATTCAATATTCGTATTATATAAAATAAAAAAATTGATGTTATACATAAAAAAAAAAATTAAAATATAATTTATTATTCTCTTATCACAATCACATATTTATTGTATGATTAGGCGTAACAACAAGAATGATGTAAGCTTGGCGGTAAGACAAGAAGTTACGAACCATTTCAAGGCCGTTAAGAATTCTAAACACATTAACATTGGCCGCCCGAGAGTGACGCTTCTATAGTGTTCTATGTCTGGAGCCAACTGTTTACACCACAGAACAATATAGAAACGACACTCAATCAGCTGGGCGGTCTACTGTATCTCTACGGTATGAATATTGGATTCTAAAAATTAAAACCGTATCCGTTATCTGACTATTCTGACTAGATATTGGTAATGTGTATTCCTATTTGTTGCGATATTATAAAAACGGAAACAATCCATTGCCTGCATGATTTTCACGGGTCTTATGTAAACAAACATTGCTAGAAACGAGCAAATTTGGAATTTCAATAGTTGCATATTTTTATTATTATTCAGTGTTCTTTCAACAGTTTTAACTAATTTTCAATATATTATTCAGTGATAATATTGAATATTGATATTATTTATTTAAGTGATAACGTATGCCGCGCTCCCGTGAGACCGTGTTCAAGGCCAATGTCGCCTGATTTGGTCAATATCAGATAGTGTCTATAACCTGATACCACGGAATAACTCTATAACTAGAAGTCCGGATAGGACACTGTATGAAAAATAATATTATATTTTTTAGTTAGGTTAGGGTTGACGGTAGTTTAAAACACTGGAATGATTTAACGTGATCTGGTAATCAACTAAAACTTTGTATACATCAATAAAATTTATTGACATGTTTAATTGAGTTTATTACTTTATTTTATTCAGTAAAAATATTCAGAATGCTAATTTTTAGTTTTTGTAATCATTTCGTTATCATTTATAGTATTTATATCGGTTGTTTAGTAATTACGACAGCCGTCGTGAACCCTAGAACCGAACTAGATATCAAAACGGTTAACGGGAGTTGCCTTTCTCTTTTCTATGGATTTATTTCTCTGGGTATAGAGCACAATTGTAACCGTATTAGGGTGTAAGGGTGTAACAATTGGAGAACAGTGTCACTATTTATCTCGGGAATGGAAAATGGAATTTATAATATTCGTGCACATTAATACGCAAAAATGTCGGTGTTAATAGAGTGACGGGCACAGATATCCCGATTTTGATGATGATTGATAATGACGAACTTGATAAGAAAAAAAAATACGAGAGCTGTCAGCATTAAAATTGACGATTAAAATAATTTATAATTAATTAAATACCAGTAAATACATATGAAGTAAAATAAATAAAAACAGAGTTTCATGATAATAATAATAATTTTTATTATCATAATAGTGTATGCGTAGTGTACACATTAACAATAATATTGGGGAAAAAATTAATGATTACTCTGCAAACGAGCAACAATATAATAATATATACAATATATTATATATCTAACCTTAAACTCAGTATTAGATGTCTGCGAAAGCTTGTGAAAACGTTACTCGCGAAAATACACCGCGGTTATTTACAGTATGTTTCACGAAACTAGCGACTTCGCAATGGCGCACCCAGTGGCGAAATTTCTGTGTTCCGCGGTTTCTCAAACTTGCACACAATACGCGGCAATTAGGAATACTGCACGATTTTTGAAAAATATGAATAAAAATAATTATTTTATTATGATATACTAAAATATACATTTTCTTTTGATATTTTAATATTAATATTTATAATAATTATAACACAATTTAATATTTTAACATTAATATTTACAACAATTATAAAGCAATATTTGAACATGAATATTTACAATAATTATAACATTTATATTTACAATTGAAGTGATTTATCGTCGTCCTCGCTTTCACTGCTGTCTTCCGGGTTAATTGTCTAAATTATTGGCTCTAAAATCTGGTCCCTGAATCCTTCTTTAATATAGTCTTCATTTTGAAGACGTTCCGCAATGGTCAACACAACGTTTCCAATTGTCTACAGTAACATTTTCTATGGCAATATTTGCCAAGTTTTCAACGTCTGTGATTTTAAAACTATTGTTTTTACTTGCAATTTCACCTTTAACTTAGGCTCATATCAACTCTATCGGGTTGTATTGACAATGATATGGGGGTAGACGTATGACTTCATGCCCCATTTGCAAAGCAATTTCATCAAGTTCATATCTTTTGTCTTTCGGTTTTAAATGTTTTACCCGTTCTCACAGCTCACCGAGTGTCAGAAGTTATCCGTTTCACTGTACTAACATCACATGTTTCTGCAGTCATTTCCTGACTTTTTCGAAAAAATGTAGCTACAACGGGATTTTTTTGTCATTTGCTAACTTTTTAAAAAAATTGTACACATTAAAAATTGTGTTTTTAGTTTGAGAATGTATCTCACGTCAAATAGACATTTTGCTCAAAATTTTTTTCGCGCACTTTCTCGAACACGTTGATATGCAATACAACCACAAATACAATAAAACTCACAAAACAGAACTAAAGTCATAACGCTGTAAACTTTTCGATAAAAACAATCGTCTACAATAAATAACTAGATAACTCGAACGGAGTAAACATACCAACAACATAATGTGGTTTTTATCGTTATCAACAGTAATACGTTCTCCAATCACTATGCGATTGTGTGTTTATCATAGAGTAAAATGCTAATAAATATAATGTTTACAAGTGGTAGATAATATTATTTAAAAAAAATTCATATCAACAGGGACAGCTGTTCGATGGTTGATTGCCGCGTCATTTTTAAATTACCGCGCTTTTTTAGTCACACGTTTAGAAACCCTTACGAAAATCTGCCACCGCAAGCGCCACGCGGAGTCGCTAGTTTCGTGAAACGTACTGTAGGACTATAATTACTGATACAGTGCCGCCACCACCGTAAAATGACATTAGCGGTCACGGCATCGATAATAAGAGGGCATAAAGGTATTGTTTACCGTTATGATCGGGGGTACAAGGGGTGCATCGCACCCTTCAACAGACTTTCAGAGGGTCTCGAAATGCCATTTTATAGTTTTTAAAAGCATAAATTATTATTATTATTATTTTTTTTTAAATTTCAATTTATAAAATAATGTTAACGTGTATTTTTTCGGTTCAAAAAAAATTATATGGTTTCTTCACTATTTATATATATATGCATTTTTCAATAAAATTTTTGAAATTATAGGTGGCCCTTGTTTGTTTTACACTTCGACTATAAAAACCTTAGTTCTGGAATTGGTTACGCATTAGTTTTACTCCCAAAACGCGTCAGTAGATTTTTCATAATAAAAAAACTAATACCGACGACCCCGATAAAACCCCAATTCGCGCTTCATTCTCCGGTAAATAAAGATGAGTCACCCCAGAGTGAAAATTATAAAATAAATTCCTTTATTTTCAAATTCAGAACTGCCAACATCGAAAAATAAAATTCCCAACAATCTTCCTGTAACTTTGATACCATTAAATAAGAAAAACTAATAAATAAAAACTAAATACATTTACTTATTTTCCCATAGAAATATTATTGTACAGTTCAAAGATTTAAAAAAATTTGATTTACGAGTTGTTTTTCATGAAAATCATTCGAGATGGGCTTACAGACGCCGTGCAAACTATGAAATAGGGCGCGACGCCGTAGTGGACCACTTACTAATAAACGATAGGGTGAATAAAATGTGTATATGATAAGTTAGGTTAGGTAATTATATTAATTTTGTTTATATACTATATAGTTGTTTATCATTGTAACATATAATAATTTTATAGTATATACATTTTTATTTATTTAATTCAATTCTTTCAAGTGATATTATTTAAATTAAAAATGGCTACAATTATAGACAAAAGCAGTCAATTTATTTGTTGTGTTGTCAGTTGTAATAATAGTAAAAAAACGGGCCATAAGTTGTTTAGCTTCCCCAATAAGCCTCATGAAAAAAAGCTTAAAAAAATGTGGATTAAAAATATTAATAGAATTAAGTAAGTATTGATGTTTTTAATTTTTAGTTTTATACGACTAATTACATTTTTTATTAATTTATATGTATCTGCAGTAAGGATGGAACACCATGGATGCCGGATGCCTGCTCGGTTATATGTGGTGAACATTTTGTTGGAAATAAACCATCAAAAGATCCCAATAGTCCTGCGTATGTACCAATTAAATTTATAAACATTTTTAAAACGAAGGAAAATGATGATCTTCAAGAACTCTGTCGTAAATTGCATTGTAATGAACCTTTAAGCAGTGAACTTTCATTGGAAGATATAATAGGCACTACTGATGCTGTATTTTGTCTATTGGCTGATATGTTAGCAGAACCCGGTCCTTATATAATTTGTAGCAAAAACCTTAAACTTTTTATTTTTTTAGTAAAAATAAAACTTGATATCAATTTTAAAAAAATTGGAATTATATATGGAATAAGTCATTCCACTGTTTTCAAAATTTTTTCCTATGTACTTAATGTTTTGTACAATAATACTAAACAATTTATTGATTGGCCTAGTAAAGATACTATTTCAGCAACTCTTCCTAATGCTTTTAAACAAAATTATCCATACTGTCGTTGCATTATAGACTGTCTAGAAATTGAAGTAGACCATTCATCTACTGAACTACAAATGGTTAAAATGCTCTCACCGTATAATAATTCATATTCCATTAAGTTTCTTATTGCTATCACACCTAATGGTGTCATAAGTTTTCTTTCAAAAGGTTATGCAGGAAATTCAAGTAATGCATTTATTATTAACGACAGTGGATTACTCTCTAAATTAGAGGTTGGAGATCAGGTTTTAGCTGACAAAAACTTCCCTAGTTGTGATACAAATTGTGAAGTAGACAATTTTGAATTAATTATGTCTCCAATCTTAGATAATGATCAGTTCATCGAAGAAGAAATAGTGAATGTACGAAGGCACATTAACATATGTTTTGCTAAATTAAAAACTTTTAAAATCTTAAATAAAATGAAAAAAGAGTTTGACTCTTTTATAGATAAAATAATGCAAATATGTTGTACTTTAAACAATTTAAAATATTTACCAATAGTTCATAAGAATAAGTCATGTTTACATTAATTGTATAAGTAGATTTAAACATTGTATATGTAATATATATTTTTTACTTAAAATGTTTACATTTAACAATTTTTGGTAATAGTTGTTTAATATTTTAGATTAAGATACATATTGTAAAAATTAAAAACATAAGTACTTAATGACTTTATTTTAAAAAATAAAATGATATGTACTTTACAGGTTAAATAAGTATGCAATACATATTTTTTTACTTAAAATTCTTACATTAAACGATTTATTGGTAATAGTTGTTTAATATTTTAGATTAAGATACATATTGTAAAATTAAAACATAAGTACTTATAGTGACTTCATTTTAAAAAATAAATTATATACTTTTATAGCTTAAATAAGTCTTAACTTATTATACATATTTTTTTTAACATCTAATAAATATAATCTTATTATATATAACAAACTTTAAATTTTATTTTTAAATTAATATTAATAAATAATACTATGATGCAAAAATTAAACTTAAATTATAACAAAAAAATAATTAGGGAGAAAAGTCCTGAAAAATAATATGTATTTCAAAGACATTGTATTAAAAAACAAGTGTGTGTTAAGAATAAAGATAGATTTGTAAAATCTTGTTTAACTTTTTTGTTACTACTACTATTATCCTTATGCCACAATGTAGAAGAAATTGGTCTTTTAGATCAGCGTTTTCCAAATTGTGGTCCGCGGACCCCTAGGAGTACACACGTGTATCGGATGGGATCCGAGAACGTAAATTGTAAATGCTATACCTTTTACATTATTTATTATTGTTTTTTATTATAATCTATATTAGGGGGTCCGTAATCATTTTACTATCTCGAGGAGTCTGGCAAAAAAATTTTTTAGGAAATGCCGTTTTAGATGATTAAGTTTCTTCTGACTTATTATTTTTGATAATATTAAACGATTCAGCCGTGGAAATTGGTTTAAAAAAAAAAAAAAAAAAATGTTTGAATAGATTACTGATTTTTACATGATATTTTATTTAAATTATAAATAATTTCTCATCATCCACGTTACCGCGTGTGTCATGTCTGTGTTAAAACTTAGAACTAGTATGTTTATAATTTTTAACAGTATGAACAATGATATTAAAATAATTCCTTTTAAAAGAAAATAAAACACTAAAAATGTGAAGAAATTCACTATCACAAGTTACAACATAATCGATCACTATAAATTCATAAATTGTAGAATTGTTTAGAGGATGCCGCACCCGCCCATGACATGTTGTCTCCTTCATGGCAAATTTTCGTTCAGCAGAATCCATTTGATATTGTTAACTCTAACATTGGAGTAAATTTACTTATTTCCAAACTTAAAGGTAAGAATTTTATTTAAGAAATGTAATAGGCTTTTATTGATATTTTAGTTTTAAAGTAAACTGTGAACATTTTAAAGTTTTAATATTTTATATAGCTATAACTCAGTTTAAAATTAAAATACCAATAAAAGCCTATGTCATTGCCTATATAAAATTATCAGATATGATGCTCAAATTTAATTTTTTATAATCCTAATGAATAATGATTAATTTAAAAGAATGCAATTTGAGTGATTGCATAAAAATTATACTATTGTATGCAATTATTAAAAATAATAAAAAACCAATTTGAATATTAACTATTTCACAGTATATTTTTCAACCAGTTACAATTAGTAGCAAAATTATTTTTACTTACTCTTTTTAATTACGTTTTTTCATGAGTAAATTTTTGTACATTACTGGTAATATTGTGCCCGATTATAATTTTAAGTGATAAGCGTAATTAAAGGGTCCTAACTTGAACTCAAAAATAAAAAAACAATATTAACCAACAACTAAGAGATCTAAGCAAGTAATTTCTATTATTCTGTCTTGTTTTGTATTTTGTCAAGCCGTAGACAGTGTCTTTTACTCAAATACGGTTACTGTGGTCTTTGGCCTTGAACAAAGTCTAAAAAGAAAGCTAGGTAATCGATATCACTAATTAAATAAACCATATCACTATATCAATAATATTTAAACAAAGTACCTACAAGAATAATAACTAATTATTATTATATTAAAATTTATCAATATTATTACATTAATACATTTTAATATTTAATTCATAGTAAAACAAATATTAGTAATATGAAAAAATAGTTCAATGCACTAGAATACTTCACATTGAAAATATACATAAATAAAAACGTATTTGGTTATCAACGTATTGTTTCCATTCGCCTAACAAAGAAAAGGAATACATGTTGCCACGGAAACTTCTAACATCTTTTAAGAGCGTGTACGTTGCCAATATTTAATCGGATTAACGGATAGGTTTTAATTTTTAGAATCAATTATCAAATACTTCATACTCTAGAAATAAAAAAGACCGACCAGCTGATCGAATGTCATTTCTACATGATTTTTTATAATTTTCTAGTTATTTTTTTATCGTACCGCTGATTAAAATAAAAGCTTATATAGGTACTTGTATATAAAGGAATATGGATTATTAATTCGGTGATACCCAATTAAGCACATAAGGCTGATTTTTTTGACCATTCGATTGAGCACGATAAAAAAATAAATATTGTGAATAACGTGTACAAATTTTTACTAGTTTGTATATTGTATAGATTATTATAATGGGTAAAAATAAATTAGTCGAAAAACACCCACAGAAATTAAAAATAACTGAGATAAATAGGAAACCAAAATTTTCATCTACAACGATTGCACTAAATTATGATTAACTGTTATTGTATGTACCTGTGCTCAGTGGCGTATTTTTAATGGTTTTTTTTTTTTTTTTGGGGGGGGGGGGGGCAGATGATTTAAGTATAAACTTTTTGTTATTTGATTGAAATATATCTCTGTTTTAAATCTACTACCACTAAGCTCATAATATACTCATCAAATATTGTAATGAAATATTTTTTATTTATTTAATTAAAAATAGAAATGTTTATGTAATTTAAATCATACAAGTATAAAATACCTACTGTAAACATAATTTTAATTAAAAAATAAAAGCAAATAATAATGTTTTAAATAAATATATAAATAGATATTTAAGATCCAATGTATTTATATATTAAAAAAAAAAAACATCATTGTAATTAATATCTAAATATACACAAATTTCCGCTGGAAAAACAAGTAACACAGACACACGAAGACACGGAACCGCAACATGAAAATATAAATTGTATGTTTACTGTAATAGGATAATAATAATATAAAATGATTATACATTATTATTACACATTTGTTACCATAATCGGTCACAATAATTTACTAATTATTTACTATATATTTTGTTTGTTATATTCGATACCAGTGGTGCTATAAGAATAATAGTTTTATAAATAATTATAAATATAATAGGATAATAAGTACATTATTTGAAACTAAATTTATTTTCTTTCCTAATTAGTTTATGACTTGATATAATATTGAATTAGTTCATAACGAATCATATATTACTGTTTGCCAAATTCCTTACAAAATTTATCAAAATTATTGAACTTATTGAATTTTTTTTTTTTTTTTTGGTTTGGGGGATGTCTACGGTATCTGGACACCCCCACCCCCAAAAAAAAAAAATTAAAAAAATACGTCACTGCCTGCGCTATAAATAAAATAAGACTTGATTACAGTCCGTCTGTTCTATTGTCTAGTACTCGTGTTACTTAAAAAATAGTGTGCATTTTGCAAAATTTTACTTTTTTATGTATATGAGTGGGATATCTATACTTCCCTGATCCACTAAATGCTGTCTCAACGTGTAATAAGTAATAACATGTGATTAAAAACCAATGAAAGTGTTGCGCCGTTACCGATCCTACAATGATCGGCGGTTGTCAAAACGACTCGTGTGTTATGCTGTATACAGAAGCAGAGAGAGTTATCCAAATATATAATAAATAATAAATCCCGTTATGTAAGTTCTAGGGGTATGTAACAGCGATCAAATATATATTGTACAATAATAATAATTTTAATTGTAATGGACCTAGTATAGGGCGCCCCGGAAATAATTAACAGTATATATAATAATAAGTACAATAGTATAAACAAATACACAATTAATGGTATATAACAAATAACAAAGACAACCTGGTTTAGCCAACTTGTCTGACGATGACACGTAGTCCCCTCGCAGTTGAATGATGGCACGATGTTCCAACAACACAGCAATCGGGATTGTTCACAAGGAGGCCGAAGCACAAAATGGTAGCAGATTTGCCAATGAATTAACGACTTCGGTGACGAATTACAAGATTTTTTTGCGGCGACACAAAGCGGCACGCAATAACGGTGGGCGGATAGAAACGTGTTGGGCCCAACCGTTGGAAAAAGACAAAAAAATTGTCGGTCAACGGTCTGGCTGGCGGCATAACTATCGCCAGACACTGGAATGGAAAATTGCTGGAAGTTTTTATCTCCGCCACACCGTGGAGTCTGAAACAAGTATAGAAATATATATACATGGCTAAGTCGTTCCGCGTTTGAACAGAAAAAGTTTTATTTATAAATATTTAGGTTCAAATCTATTTTATTTAATATTTTACAGTGCAACTTGGCAATGTCGTACCTATTCTCGTGCTCATTCGGGTTTTGAAAAAGGTCAATCGTACTTCGATTCCAACCTTTAAATTGGCATCCAAATACAGGTAATCGATATTAAACCCTTAAGAAGTACCTTTGATTTAGTTCCAAAATATAGATGGTCAATATTAAACCTTTCACAAGTACCTTTGAATTGACTAGGTATTATTTTTTTTCAAATAATAATTTACGAATTTAAAGTAATAGATAAAAAATCTGTTACCTAACTCAAAATTAAAAAATAAAATATTTAAAATATTTTTAAGATTAGTTGATATATTCATGTTTTTATTTTTGAAAAAATATCTGTTGTACAGAATTAAAATCATAGAATATATTAAATTTAATCAATTTTTAATTTAACTATAATATGAAATTATGATTATTAATATTACTTAATATAACCGATGTTACAATTGTTGTTTTCAAGGCCATAATTGTGTAGAAGGGTCTAAGGGGGGTCCAGACCCCTCCCACATCCTGAAATTTCTTAAATAGTTTAAAAATAAATAATATTACTATATTTTTAATGCCATCATAAATAGCTAAAATTACTATTTATTAAATTGACTATTAATATAGCCTCTTTTCATTTACAAAATCTTCTAAACGCCCTCGAAACATGTTACAAAACTTGAGGAGTAAAAATGAACGAAACCAAAGCCATTCACTGTACCTTTACCTTTCGCCACGAAATATGCTCAACACTCACCTTAACATCAAGCCGCTTCCTCCAACCAAACATGTACGCTACCTCAGTATCCTTAAATTATATAGTCGATTTCATTTTCAAATACACATAGCTTGCAAAAATTATACCCTAAACGACCATTTCCGACTCTTTCAACAACTTAAAACTTCTAAATACATGACACTACCCAACAAACTCCTTCAGTTCAAACTCCTGTTAAGACCCATATGAATATTCAACTGTGGGGAGCTGCCAAAATATCCAATATCAACCACATCTAAAGATTTCTATCTAAAATGTTATGTATTTTATCCAAAGCCCCATTCTATGTCTCCAACATACACTCTCCACTCTGATCTTAAAATACCATGATATGTAAAATAATTGGTATATAATTTTAGTAAAATTAGGGCAATTACATAATTATATAATTTTAAAATGATTAAAAGTATAAAATGCATAACATTTTGTAAAATAAAATGTAGAAAATTATTTAAAATACAAAAATGTTTATATATTAACATTATTATTTTTATGTTAATATGTCACAGTACATAATATGTATAGTATTATAAAAAAAAATAAAATTTAAATCACATTTTATCATCAGCTCATCACCATTTTAACCATGTTCACTTTACAAATGTGAGAGGGTAAAATAGGGGAGTGTCCTTCCTACCCTTATTTTGGCTAAGGTTATTTTTAATTATTGTTGTAATGTTATTTCAATAAACGATGGTGGCGTATATTATTATTATATATATTTTATAATATAATACAAAACAGTCAATAGATAATTTAATAAATTGAATTGTAATTTTAGACATTTATGTTGGTATTAAAAATAGATAGTTACTTTACACATTTTTAAATTGTAGTATTTTAGTTATAGGTGTAAAACATAATACATGGAAAATACGCCAGTAATAACAAATTTTTAAATTTTTTATTTCGGGAACAATAATCGTCGTGAAAAAGTTGTTCGGGAATTTTTATTCGGGTTCTTGACCCTTCTTTAATATGATTTTGTTTATAATTGCACTAAAAAAAACTAAACTATCCACTTTGAAGTGTATTTTAAGTGCTATTGGAACTTATAGTCTTTTTTACAATAAAACATTAGATTGATCTTTCGGTTGCTCGAGAGTAGGTACACAACGATTTAATGATGTAATGTCGTGTTACTGTTTGATAAGTCATAAGTGCCATCCATTGGTGAATCACTGACTATATAGTGACTACAATGAGTGTAGGCGGCGGTGGTCGTCATTCTCGTTAGTGTGTAATGACTGTAGTCTGTAATGCTCACGCGTTGCACGTTAGCAGTGTAGTACTTTACTGTTTATAACAGCCAAGTGGTATATCGGTTTTTCTATCCACGATACAATCAACGGATAATACGATAAATCTAGACTTACAAGTTTTATTCGATGTAAAATAGTATTAAATAAATAGTTCCTATTATTGTCATACATAATTTTACATTTGATTTTTATACATTCAAGACAAAATATGATTACAAATATGATCATTTTAGCTAAATAATTATCAATTAATTAATTAATTAAATTAGTTTATGGCCAAAATACAGTTTTATATCTTCAAACGGTTTTAATTGTTGATGTAATTTGATTCATTTTATTAGGAATAATAATAATAGTTATTATTGCTTATTGAAGTCATGTGGAGACAACGGCTTGCGTTTGAAGATTTTAACTTATTAGAATTTCTTAGTCATGTAGCATAGTTTTACATATATAATATATATACATTATATGTTTAACTGCATTTCTTTATATTGATTACGAATTTTAATAACTTCAAATGGTATTACCTATAGTACCTATAGCACAATTTATAACTTATGATATATATTACTATTGTTACTTCAAGTTTTAATAAAAAAAAAATGTTTGAAAATCATTAATTAAATTATTAAATTTAATAGGATCTAATATAGAAAAAAAGAGTTTTAAAACTTATAGAGCTTAAGAGTTAAGTTTAAATCTATGAAGTTTTAAAATTATAATATTTAGGTATATCATTTATACAGTAAATATTTTAACTTCAAAATTGAAAATTGAAATTAATTTTACTGTATATTATTTAAGTACTGACTGCATATTACTTTATTTTTATGAAAGATCAAAACACATTCAAGTCTCAGTTCAAAATTACTTTATATCTAGTCCTTGTGGCATTGATTAAGTTTGTTTAATCAATGTCCATAGTGTCAGACTGGCTCGAAAAGGCCCAGTCTGCAATTTGGAAAAAAGGGCCCCGAACAGTAGCCCCTCCCTCCAAAAAAAAAGATAGTTAGATTTAATATTCAAATTTTATAGGTACAAAAAATAATGTTAAAGATATGAATTACTTGTAGAAATTGGTTGTAAAATCAACCAACTTAGAATTTGGATCTACAGCAAATGTTAATTTAGTAGAAATGCATTCAGTTTCACCTAATTATTAAAATCACAAAAGTTTAAATTGTATATTCTTAGAATACTTTATAGATTAAAAAATTTAAATTTAAATTATTAATTACTTGAGGTAATAGTAGACATAGCTAATTTTGAGACTGGGTTCATATCAAACGACAGTGATTCAGTAGAAACCATACTTTCAATTGCATCTTATAATTGAAAACACACATAAATAGTTAGATTTAATATTTATATAACACTTTAGAAGTTCAAAAAATAAATTTTAAAATTCAAATTTCTTGTAAAGTAATATTATGGATACTGGATAATGACTATTTATATTAATTACATACTATTTATGTATAGTGAAAAGTGGCTAGAATAATTAATAATATAATATGCGTTATTGTCTTATATTTTAATAACCTATATAACAAAATAAAATAAAATATTCTTACCTTTCACAGGTTTCAGTGGTTTCACACTTGAAGAAAAACTAAGTTTTTTTTTTTACTTTTGTCATTTGCACATTTAAGCAATTTTTGCTTTTCTATCTCTTTTTTTCTTTTCAGAACCAGCTTTGTATTTCCTTTTATACATCACGATTCACGAATCACGGACACCCGGTTATAAAAATTACGGTTAACGGTTAACAGACAACACTACAACAGTAATAACTAACAAGTTGTCAATTTGAAATTAACAATTAACCATTCAACCGACAATGTTATATTAAAATCTTTAAATTTAGCTATAAGGCCATGATAACAAATAAATGAACAATACAACGTTGTTAACTATAAATTATTATTCTTGTAATTTGTATCATATTATTGACTACAGCTATTTATAACCTTGCGGGCTGCCGCCTCACGTGCACCGAGTACAATACTTACCCAAAATATAATAATTCATTTACAATCAGTATTTAGCGATACCTAATGCGAATACCAAATTGTACGCATATGCCTGTATAATATTATATTATTTAATAGTCACAAGAATTGAACAATTCTACACTATTTATAATCTATGAATACCTATTTGTATATAAACAGCTCCCTATTAAATTCGTAGAATGATAATAACAATGTCATTATTTTAATAATTATTGAGAATTTTTCAAGGTTGTAATCAATAATACGTTTCCTGATTTGAAAGAAAAAATATTTGTTTCGTATTTCTATTTACTCTAGATTAATAATAATAATAAAAATAGGTACAAAATCAGAGGCCCCCCAATTACCATAATTAAGCCGGGGCCCCGTCCGCAATTGCGGACTAGCGGTCCGGGTCAGCCCGACTCTGTAATAAATCATGTCCATGATAAACTACTAAAGTTATATATAATTTTTATTTTTTACCAATTTATTCCAATAATCTATGCAAAATCAACTAAAATATTAGGTTTTAGAAACATGTACTTAATTGTACCATCATTTGTCTTCGCATATGTCAATACTATGATGAAAGTTAGTTATTTTGATGTATATATATATAAATTATAGGTATATATCCAAAATATCTTATATTATTTTGAATTCTATATTTTTTAAGAATCAGTTGCAATTGTACCACAATGATTTATGGCACCAAGAACAAGTCAAGATGAATCTATTATTTTATGCTATTTATTTGCACTGAGATCTTACAGACTATTGTATTTGATTAATTGTATTTACCGTTATTATGAAGAACATTGCTATTTTCTAATTGTAATTGTTCTTGGAATTGTGGAAACTGTTATCACATAATGTTTTGGTTACTTTTCAATTTTCATAACACCAAATGTATAGTATTAATATTTATGCCTTACATAGTTTAAAAATCTACCCACTGGTGATAAATTTATTTCTGAATTATATCTTGTTACTAATTAATGTTTCAGGTATGGGCCATTTGTTTATCTGTTTATCATTATTTGATATTGATAATCTAAAGTTATTTACATAAGTTGTATTGTTATATTAAAATTTAAAAGAGTAAAATTAATTTAACAAAAATAAATTAATATAAAAAAGTTTCATATTTTATCTAATAAGTCATTAGACTTTCTCTCATAAGTAGAATGAAAGAGTTTTATAAAAAAGTAACCTTTTCATTTTGAACAAAATTATTTTTGTTTTTAGTTCTATGTTGATAAAGTTGACATTATTTCTGCAATATAATTCAAAGGATTCAGATTATGAATTGAAATTAATTATTTAAAAATCAAAAACAAATATTGAAGGTTAAATCTTAAAATTCTCCCGATTAATTCTAATAATTTATATAATGATAATAAAACCCATTTATTGTAATTCAACATTTTAAATGTTAATTCAAATTATTATTTTATATATTAAGCTTGATATTTTACTAGTTACATACTATCTAAGGGTGGATTATTAGAATCTTAAAATTTTAAAATATGATTCTAATGTGCTTTAAAAAACCTTAAAACATTTTTTTAGTAATACTTTAATTGGTAAAACAATAATACAATCCATTATTAAATATGAAATACAAAATAAATTTTCTGAAGTTTCCAAAACATGTTTTAGTATGTGAAATAAGTTTGTTTCTATTAATTGTATGATGTATAATTCCTTATATTTCACATTTGTTGAACTGCATAAAATCAATAAGTTTATATAAAAACCTAAAAATTTGTTTTTAAATTGTCATTAAAATTATTCCATTCTATTAATTATATTTAATACCTATACAAGACTTTTTCAATTAAAAAAGGTTTTGAATAATTTTAATTTTATGATGCATATTTTTTAATTAGGCAAAAAGTGGACCAATCCGAGTAGTTATAACAGATGTTGCTGGTCAACTTGCTTATTCTTTGATATTCAAGATTGTCAACGGAGATTTTTTTGGAATTGAACAATAAGTAATATTAAATCTTATAGATATTCCATCTGCAATGGAAGGTGTATGCATGGAAATTAATGATCTAGCTTTACCTTTTTTTTTTATTAAGAAACTTGGTGAAAACCATTAGTTTTAACAATTACAATGAACAATATAATAGATATAATATAAACAATATAATACTCTACTGAATTAGAAAAATATTTTTATTTTTTTAGCTTTACCTTTAGTCAAAGGTTTGATAAGTTTGAATGTGATATATAAAAATTTTAATAGAAATTTACATATAACATATTTTTTATAATATTTAGGTTATATGAATTATGTAAACAACTAACTTAGAAGAAGCATTTAAGGACGTCGATGTTGCTTTCTTGTTATGTTCAATGCTCAATAGTGAAAGTAAAGAAAAAAAAGATTTACTATCATCTAATGTGAAATTTTTCAAATTATTTTAGATAAGTATGCAAAGAAAGATATTTAAATTTTAGTGATTGGAAATACAGCTAAAATTAATGCTTTAATATGCTCTTTCCATACTCAAGAAGAACTTAACTGCAATGACAAGACTTGATTAAAATCACTAATCAGTATATAACTTAGTAAATATTATATAAATAAATCATAATATAATTTTTGATATAAATTAACATTGCTGAGCTTAATCTGCTATTGCTATTTATCTCGGACTAAGTGTAAGCAACATAAAAAATTTTACAATCTAGGGAAATTAATCAACTCAATTCCCAGATGTTTTTAATACATTAGTACAATCATGTGATAGTTCAAAAAGTGTATATGACACCATAAAAGATACTTAATGGTTTGAAGAAGATTTTATTAAGGTAAAAAAAAAAAAAAATGTATTGAATTTGGATAAATTTGTATTAATTAGTTAATTTAAACAAATATTTGAATTGTAAAATTAGTAGAAATTAAATACAATAATATAGTTCAGTGGTTCTCAACCTTTTTATGTTCACGGCGTATTTTTATAAATATACAGTTTGACAGAACACTATAGTAATAAAATAATAAAAAGCAAACAAAAAAAGGCATTTTTATTTTAATCATTATTTTATTATTATTAATATATTAATACTATATATAAGGTTAAAAATTAATACTTAATAACACTATGCATGTATCACGGTAGCAGTACACCTACATACACCCCCTAAATTAACTCAAATTAGGTGTCCCAGTTAGGCTACTAACTGTTATTGTAAAATATATTTGTACCTAGTTTAATATGTTTTTCTATGTAAAAAAAAAAAAATATTAAAGAAAGTTTAAAAAAATATCTTAATACTCTTAATTAAAACAGCAAATAAGTTAAAATTCTTTAAATTTTAGATTTAAAGAAAAATTTGGATTTAACTGCTGAAGAACTGATGTATTAAAAAAAGAAGCTTTGGAAATTTGCAATATTTGTTATGTATAACTTTTGACTGACTAAAAAACCTTGATTGACTGTTATATTTCAGACATAGCTCTGAATGTTGAATTTGCTTCTAATATTTTTGGATAATTTTCTTATCTAATAAACACTAATATAAAATTTCACATTAACTTTAATAATATTGGTATCAATGTAAATTATTTATTATTTCTAACATTTTAAAAATCAATTTTACATTTCTGCTATAAATATGAGAGAAAATATAAATAAAGCTGACTAGGGCAAAAAATGATGATTGTATTTGTTGTACCAATCTGTAGTGAAGCATTGTTTATATTTACAGAATAGGATATTCATTAGTTTTTTTTTTTATTATTATTAACTAAAAATGGTTAAAAAAGAATAATCAATATTATAGATTACTACGAGAACAAATTTTTCTTGATCAAATAATTGTTAATAAATATATGTTTATAAAAAAGTGCAGTTATTACAATTTATTCAATTTTTTGCCTAGTGAAAGTAGTTGGCCAGTCTGGAACATAATTTTCATTTAAATAATTTTCCCTTGTTTGTGAAAGTATGTTCAAATTATTTGTACTTCCAAATATTGATCCTATTGAAAGGAAAAATCACGTTTTAATGATCAATTCTTTAAAATATGTTTATTTTTTTACCTCCAAGCCATGCAATGTAATTTTCATATGCAGGTGCAATATGAAATTTGAATTTTGTAATTTTTAAATTGTTGTATTTAGAAGACTTAAGCTTTTCTAAGAGTTCTTCTTTTAATCTAGCCATGAAACCTTTAGCCATTACTGTACCACCAATAAGAACAATATTTTCTGCAAGCTTTAATCGCATATCCACATTACTCTGCAATTAAAAGTAATTAAATTATTAAAGACAATTTTTTTATAAAATAAAAATATAATTGACATACATTAACTATAGTTTCAAGTATCATGGTAGTGATAGACATTTCATCAATATTTTCTTTAAATAATACATCATGAACTGTTTCTCTAACATCTCCTGATATTGTTATGGATCTTTCTCCATTTATATGATATTCAACATCAGAAGTTTTTGGTTCAACATTTTGACCCGTGGCTAGAATTTTGCTACGTTTTAATGTTGTCACAAAACAAGTTCTCACTGGATATTAATTAAACAATAGATTAGTATAAGATTAATAAAAAAGATGGTTATCTATTACCTTTAATATCTTCAGCAATACTGTCTATCGATTCATCAGGAGATAATTGACCTATATCAATACGATTTATGATTTGATTTTCTACTGTTTGTCCTGCCAATGCCATTGCTTGCCATAGCCGTAAAACAGGTACTCCTTCACATACTGGTATAAGAATAGCTTCTTTGTATCCTATATCAAGTACTAAGCCGGTAGAAATTCCAAGAGTGAACAAAGAAGCACAATGTGATGGTACAAAACATAGTGACGCAACCTGTATTAAAACATATTTTACCATACTGTTCTTTTATAAATTATAGTACCTTACTTCATAAGTAATGAACAATACTTTAGCAAGTATTTCTTTAAATGTTGTTGGTGATAATAATGATTCAACAATTATTACTTTTTTATCTTTAGGTGCAACAAGTGCATACCTAGAAAATAAAAACAATTTTGTTATTTTTCTAGTTTATAATAGGTTTATATCATTCAAAAATGTTAATATATTTTACTTGTAAAATAACATATGAATGAAATTTGTTAGAGCTAATGTAAGTGTTTGTACATCTTTACATTTATATATGTCAGGAATAAATGTACCATCTATTTCACAACAAGTAGGTATAATACATCTAGGCGAATGTTCAGTAGCAAATCCAAATCTGAAAAAATGACAAAATTCATGAAATATGTACATAATTAGACTGTGTAAAATATGAAGACAACAAGCGAGTAGGACTATGTACCAGAATTAATCTGAATCCATAAAATTCTTAAAGTCAAATTTGTATTCATATGTATTTCATAAATAAATTGTATTCCAAAAAAGATGTTTTGATTCACTCAAATAACAAATAACTAACAAATTGTATGTGCAAATATTGGTATGGTTTGGTTTTGTAAATATTTATTTGAAAATAAATTAAATGGGTCTAGATTGTAATATAGACACAAACATACTCAACATTTTGGGTAGTAAAGTTATCTAATATACATAAGAAATTTCTTAAAGAATATAATATTTACATCTTGTATTTTATCACTCTTTTAATATTTATAGGTTCTTTTAAATTACTAGACACTTGTAAAACCTTACATTTTTTATTATGATATTTAAACACTCGAATAAGTCCAATAAAACACAGACAAATAAATGATTAGGTGCAAAACCTTGCTAACAGGAGTAAGATACAAATGTGCATATAACATTTCGGTTATAATACATTATTAATATAATTTAAATAATGCTACAAGAACTATTATGTTTATTATAATATATTCATCACCTTAATATCAAACTTTAATCGAAATTGAATCAATTCACTCACTTGGTGTACTTAGTTCCAATATCGATAACAATACATTGTTTTTCGGGTAAAAACTCCGAATCAATTTTCATCGTTTTAACGAACACGACAATTGTATTTTATTAGCAAGACTAAGAAATAAAAATATTAATTGTATTCTATATAGTTGTATCACATGGAAAATCTGAACGAGTCTTTTTAACTTCGATAATTTATATATTGTTTGTAGGGTAGTAAATACACTGATAATTAATTTTACAACTCATAACTCGTAAGTTGCATGTCGTAAAGATCCAAGTCCTGTACTCCTTTCTTCTATATCTGACATACGTGCCTGTCGCTTCACGTTTTAATGCTTGATATGCTTTTGATAAACACTAAACAGCACTATATCAGTATTAATAAACAGTAGTTATAATTGATAAGCAGCGGTAGTTGGGTTTTTACTTTTTAGCTATTTTAAATAAGAATTTTTGTCATATAATATTGGCAACGTCGGTTATGCATATAAATTATTTTTATTATTATTTTAAATGCGGGAAAATTGTTGTTCACTGATAACATTTAAATATTATAGTTTTTATTATTAATATTAATCTTAAGCCAAGTAACTGAAGTAACGACATGCACCGGATGATGACTGATATCACTCAATTGCTGTAATCAGAACGTATTTATTTATTATCCACACACAAAAGCACCGGGCAAGCTACGGGACAAGGTGTATTGCACTTGTGAATTTATTGTGATTACCGACCAACTGGACACTCGAATTCGACTTTTATACTTTTATTATTTAGACGTTTAAAACGTCACCGCCAAAATGTAGAGCCACCAAATCAGAGGTACAACGTCACAAACGTCGTTATCACCGGTTTCGCCTACTATACTTTTCTAACTTCGGTATTCTAAAGTTCTGTCTCCGACCTAGGGTATTCACTTAAAGCAATTTTCACCTACCTCGGGTATTCACTAACAGCGAGTTTCACCGGTTCTAGTGGTATATTTATACACATTTATAGATAGGTAAATTTTAAAATGTTTATCATTTCAGAATGTACGAGCGCAATAAAATATTTTATTTTTTTTAATAGCAACACCTATTTTGAATACCATATTCGGATAGGCCTAATCTTTTTAAATAATTTTGATGTATCAAAATTACTATATATATTTTCTATTTTCATACAAAAAGATGATTATTCTCAATAATATTAGGTCAAAGGTTCCGATAGAAACAATATTTTGCTGATTCGTCATTTATAAAAAAATATTATGAAAAACATGAAGTATGCAATTTATAATAGGTATTAAATTCTATCTATAAATACAAATAAAAATGTTATAGTCAATCAGACATTCAGTACGCTATTATTTTTCATCATGCGTGGTTTATATTTTTGTTTCGTTTGTAGGTACCTACCGTTCTCGTTGTGTGTGCCTCAATCACAATAGTTTACGATGAGTTTAGTTTTACAAATCCCGAAGGAACTTCTATAATACGTATGATTAATAATGTTGGCAACCGACGTACATCAATTTGTGAAACGTTATGCGTTCGTTACTTACATTGTTGAACTTGGCATATACGTTGAACGCGGCGATTACACGTTATTGTTATTAAAAAACAAACCAAATAATCCAATAATGTCCCTCATACAGTTTGAACATACCTAATATGCTGGGTTCGATTCATTTAATTTTGGCAGATCTTTTAATTGTTCATTATTAGATGCCATGTCAATTAACTTTTTATAAAAATATAAGAAAATCATATGTCTGATTATTTATTGATGCAACTGGAAGTATTGTAAAAAACATTAAACGGACTACACAAAACATTTTTTCTAGCCATATATTTTTGTATGAAGGTATTTTATCCAGTGATGAATTTCAAGCATCTACATTGCAAATGATTAGTGAAAAAAATAATACATTTATAATCTACTCATGACTGCAATCATGGTTAAACGATGCGGTATAATAGCTCGTGCATTTTGTATAGGTATTACTATTAATTTCTATGTTAAGACATATTTAGACATTTTACTGCATGGAAAATCTTCTGCAAGTCATCATATGCAATGTTATTTAAGAATTGATATACCTCATGTAATCAAACTAGTTTGTTTATGATGTTTATGAAAATGTTGGCACGGGTTAAAATCACAACACCTAAAACAATTCTTTGTCAGGTAAATAATCTTATACTTTCTACTAGTTTTCAATTATATGTATGTATTAGTTATATTAATTATATTATTATGAATCAAAAAATTGAGAATGTAATTAATTTTAATAATTATTATATTTAACTCATTTATCTTTGCTATTTTTTCAATAAAAAGATCCATTTTTCCATGATTAGGTAATTTTTTATTTTTTAGTTAATTTTATAGTATAGGTACTTATCAACTGAAATATTTTGAGAAAAAAAAATATTTTTAAATAGTAGGTACATTTATTTACTAATTATTAACAATTATTCTATTGACTTAAATTAAAAAAAAAGCAACAGATAACTGAAATCTAAGGAAATTAATATGTGACTTAGAAAAAAATATAATTTTAATTTTTAGTGATTACATTTTATAACTTTTTAAAATGAGTTTATTTATTTAATTAATATGTACATATTATCCAGTACCTACATAACAAAGATCATTTACTATGTGAAAATAAATTTGATTTAGATAAATTTTGAAAATAAGGAAATGGTGGACGATTCCAGTTTTTCAAGCGTTAATGAGTTTTTATAACATATCGTAGAAAAAAGTAAATTAAATTCATCAATATCCAGAAATCGCCAAATGCTTACTATGTTCCCGATTTTTGTAAAACTATTCAGAGAACATGTAAACTTTTTCCATTATGGTCTATTGTAATAGAACGATATTTTAAATCACCATATATTACAGCTTTTGAGGAGAGAAATTTTGCTGAGTTCAAAATTAATAAATAAATAAATAAAAATAAAAATAAAATAAATTTTAAATACACTAATTCATATCCCGGCATTGATATAATTTTAAATAGCACGAGAATGTGCTCACACAAGAAAACATTTTATTAAATGGTAATATTTCTAATTAATGTAAAATTAAAGGGCATATATTATGTTATATATATTGTGACAAACACATTACCTTTTGATGTAATTATTGTTATTGGTTTGAGTGTTGCTTATAAATTTATGATAATAATCATAATTCATAGGTATAAAGATTATGTATTATATAAAAATAATGAGTTATTATTATTTTCTAAGCAGTTAGTTTCAAATGGTGGTTTAAAAACTTTAACAATACTTGAGCCAAGTTATTGAAAAAACGTTTTAAATAAATACTATTGTACCCAAAGGTGCAGGCAATAAACTGTGAATGTAATGTTACAAAAATTATTGAATACTTTTAAAAGATGTACCCTTAGTGCAGTTGAATATGTAAGATGTGAAAATTGCAAAGAAAATACAAAACCTTTACCAACAATCATACTTTAATTTAACAATAATACAAATAAACTTAAAGAGATGATACAGAATTATTTTAAAGTTAAGAAATCAGTATGTTTTGAGTATATTGGAATGAAATTTTCAACTTGAGTACCGAATCAGCATTTCTTAAATGAGACTGAGTATTTAACAAAATATGATTCTACCACTAAAAGATTTTCTGAAAGTAGTGAATGAAAAGTAAATAACTTTCATATTAAAACTTAGTTTATTTGAAAAATTTTTTTATATTAACTATTTTTTTTCACCAGGTATCATTTGTAGCTACAGTTAATTTCTTTGTTGGACATTAATACATTATACAACATACATACGAATTTCAAAAAATGTTTGGGAAATTTATAATGATTTTTCTCTAAAAATAATGATTGCGACATTAGAAATTGATATTCTTCATCCACATATTTTAAAGTGTAGGTATATTATAATAACAAAATTTAATATTATTAGTTTTATTTACTTATTAATTGTACATTATATAATAAGCAAATTTATAATTTCAAAGTATGTACCTCCTTATTTTAAATTTTTATTTTGGTTTAGACATTAGTTTGTTATTAATATTAAATTTTTATATTATATATAATTTTATGTTACTCATATTAAAAAACAAAAAAATGTTGATGAATTAATCTTTAATTTATTATTACTCATTAATAATTCTCAAGTAAAAAAATATAACCTAATTTTAACAAAGTAACACATAATAAATGCAAATTGGTTGAAGATGTTTAATTATGATATATTTCAATTATGATTTATAGTACAAGACCAAGCAGCAAATTTTTAAACAAATCCGTTTTACTTACATTTAGTCTTTAGATTATGATGTAGATAATTTTTATTTGTTCTTGCAATTATAAATTTTTGTTAAATTATAAGATTAATATAGAAGTGACTAAACAATAGGTATAAACAGTGGTGAAACTATGACATACTCGTCTTTAATTCTATTCAAATCACTTACCCAGTAAAATTCAGACTTTAAGTATGTGTCTTTAATCTCATTTCATAGAATATGTGTCATTATATATAGTGTAACAATATACATGTTACTTACGCATCATTTAAGCGGCACTCTACGATTTTGCTTAGGTCAGAAGAACACAGGAACGTAGAGTACGAGTATATACAATCATTTTTGATATAGCTAATCAGTCGTTTTTGGGTTCGTGAAATAGAGACAACAGTAGTCTCTATATTTTTAAGTAAGATTTTTAATTTGGTTTACTATAGTTATAATAACCTACCTTATAGATAAATCATAATTTATTCACTTCAACTTGTATTATATTGTTTTAATAATTTAAAATTTATCACAATTATGAGTAAATTAATACATATCATCATTAGTACCTAACCTACCTAAGTTATACTATGATCAAGACTAACATGTATAAGTTAGGTTAAATAGGCTGAACTGTATAATACTGTGAGTTAAAACATACAGAAATTATGGAATGTACCAAAAAAATAAACAATTAAAACTACAGATTTGGTTCCAAAATTCAAAACGGCAAAGAATTCTGTACAAATCAATACAAACAAGGAACGGTATATCACTTTTAAAAGCCTGAAGTAGGGTTGATGACTGATGAGTATGACTGTATGAGTAACTTTCAAATTTAAAAACGAGCTTGCACATACTTAAACATCATTGCCTTTTGTTTGATAATCAATAATAAAAAATTATTCTCGATCGAAACACGGTTGGGCCAAAATTTCTAGCTTCAAAAGCTAAAGGTGGTCGCCACAGTGACTAGCAAATATTTGCTATAGTCATTAGTTTTCGTTTGATACCCACTTCGAAATTTCGGGTCAAAACATCACGTCAACTGCACAGCTTCAAAACTTAGCAGCCACTTCATAGCGGCCACCTGAATGAATTGCAAATACTAGCAAATAACTCGCAAAATAATGGCGCAGGTTTAAGAAAAATTGCAATACTTTTGTGGGCCAACTTTACGAATTTTTAAAACTCGGAACAGAACAAGTCAAAACACTCAAAAGACCGTTCCCGCGATAGTAATGTTATCACTTATCACGTTGATATAGAATTACCGTGTTAACAGCATATTGTTATCGTATCATAGATTAATTACTTATTATTCAAAGTATCGTGCGTGCACCGCACTCCACGGCCATGGATAATAATAATAATATTATTATCTCGGGTTTCCTATGGCAGCTCGCCAACATCAAGGCACAGTGTGGTCCGTACGTGGAATTTACACGAAAATTGCACCGTGTAGCTGGCTGCAGTGGACCGTTTGCCGGCACGCAGGCAACTCACTGCGGTGCGTCGGCGCGCGACGTCGCTCGTAGCAAAGAATAACATGATGATGATATTATAATATGTGTTAGCCGTTCAGTGGGTATGCGTTGTAGGGTTCTACATCTACAGTATCAATTAACTGTGAAAAAAAAAAAACGCCGGCCACGTCATTCTGCCGTAGCCGCGACAGTGTTATCTCGTAGCGTACAGCGTTTTGAGTACAAATATCTTCCTCTATTATTTTTATTTTTACGATCGTCGACAGTTTTAAAGGGTTTACGCCGTTCGCGGTACACGTTACTACTTACACTTACTCTTATTGTGTTCATTCATCAAAAGATATTTTGTTTTTTTTACCACCTCTTCCCGCAACCGACCGTTTTTTTTTTACAAATCCGAAATCCGTGTTTACCGACAAATAGCCGACTGTTCCTAGACGGCGTCTGAGGCCGTCCGTCCGTCCCTGTCACGTCACCGACGAGGGCTAGTGAACATACGCACCTACTTATTCGTGTGGACCAATAACGGTTCGTCACCGTTCCGAGTTTTTTGAGACGGTGACCACCGCCGTCAGCAAGAAACCAAAATGAATATATTCAGACTTTGTGGTGACTTGTCACATCTGCTGGCCATTCTGCTGTTACTCGTTAAGATATGGAAGACCCGATCTTGCGCCGGTAACATCTCACGATAATATTATTATTTATTGATGCTTAGAAATTATTTGCCCATTTACTGTGATCAATTATAAATTTGTCAACATAAACCCTGAAAAAAATGGAACTTATCGAGCACTATAATATCAGTGGCATGGTGCAATCTCTTTGTACCTAGATTTTTTCATACCGGTTAACTAATTTCTAGCAATAGAAAAAATGCATGAAAAGCTTTCCAGACTATAGTGATGTGTCTGGGTGTGCAGCATCTGGGTCTGAGTCTATGTCCGAGTTTGCAGCCACCAAAGACCGACATCAATGGTACATGTACCATAAGATCCGAGGGATGATACAAATGAGTTTTGAGTATTGTCTTCGATAGTCTTATTACAACAAAAAGATTTATATGTAATAAATAAATATAAACTTAATATTTGTGTCAGTTATCACACTAAGTGTCCTTATTGAGTGCCCTTTGATACCTAATCATTGTCATTTTTGATATTCAACTGTTTTTATTATTTAACATATAGATATTTTAAATATACTATAATTTTTTATTTTTTAATTTATGTATTTTATCCATAAATTATACCAACACTATTATTTATTGTAGATTAATACATCAAACATTATACTTAAAATAAATTACCATGAAGGATATACTTAATCAAACCATCTTATGTTCTGATTTGATTAGAACAATTTTATGTACATTAGTGTATTATTTAAAATGGTTTGAACAAGATATTAAATCTCTTTTTTTAATTATTTTTTATTTAATTTCAAGATAACAAACCATTAAGTACGAGCAGTGTCTACTTACTTACTTATCTATTTTCAATTAAAATAAATATAACTCAACATATTAATATATATTTTTTTTTTATTATTATTATTACAGGTATATCGGGAAAATCTCAAATACTTTTTGCAATTGTTTATACAACAAGATATTTAGATTTATTCACAAGTTTTGTATCTGTTTATAACAGTTTTATGAAAGTAGTGTTTCTAACAGCATCATATGGAACATTATATTTAATGTTCTTCAAATTTAAGCCAACATATGACCATAACCATGATAGCTTTAGGTAATTTATATAGCTAATTTAAATACACATATTATTTTTATAACATAAATAATAAATATGTACATATTTTTTTCAGAATTTTGTACTTAATCATACCATCATTGGTGCTATCATTTATCATTGTTCATGTTTACACCGTGATGGAGGTTAGTTTTTAAATTTAAATATGCTCTGTGTATACAAATTACAAACTGTTATTTTTAATTTTAGATTTTATGGACTTACAGTATTTATTTGGAAGCAGTAGCAATTATGCCACAACTGTTTATGGTATCTAGAACAGGCGAAGCTGAGACTATTACTTCTCACTATTTGTTTGCTCTGGGTTCTTACAGAGCACTTTATATATTGAATTGGATTTACCGTTATTATACAGAAGATTTTCTTGACATGATTGTAATTATTGCTGGAATTGTGCAAACCATCTTGTACTGTGACTTCTTTTATCTCTATATAACTAAAGGTAAATATAACTAAAAAAGTATTCATATTTATTTTAATTTATTTTAATTTTATTTTTCAGTTTTAAAAGGTAAACGACTGTCCTTGCCTGTCTAAACATGGAAGGAAAACCTCAGACCAAAGTGTCAATATAAAACAGACTATTTACACATTATTATTATGTCATATGAATTTTTTGTACATAAATAAATAGCTTACATTTGTTGTAAGATGTTATAGTAGGTCATTGGATACCTTATAAATACGAGATATATTTTATTTTAGTTTTAAATTTCAATTATTTGTAATAATTAAACCAAAATATTATCAACCATGATATAAATTTTTCTGTTTTTTTTTTTTTTATAGCACAATATTTTCAATATGCAAGTATATGTTTATATTGTAAATATATATATATATGCTTATATTTATAACAGATAATTTATAAATTATAACTTTAGTAATCCTTATTAAAAGAAAATAAATTCACATTTTATTATTTATTTAAATTATTAATGTTTGTATGCAAATCAAATGCAAATGAGGCATGTTTACAATTTTTTTTTATTGTATAATCATAATTTTGTTTATTCATTAAACAAATTCCTTTTTAATTTATTGGTAATTATTAAAATGTTATTAAAATCATAAAGTTTAATTAAATATATGTATTTTCCCCGAACTGTTAATAATTGTTAATGTAAGTTACTGAATTTATTAAAATGAATTTTAAAATATTTGTAAATATGTTATTTTTCCAGACTTAAAAATATGTTTTATATAAAAACCATAGAAATTTGACAATTCCAAGTATAAATATTGAAATATTTATTATTCTATGTACTCAATAAATACTACTTTGTGTTCTTGAAGTACATTACCTAATTTACAACTATTGTATGGTTTTTATTTATTTGTGAAGCTTAACATTTTAAATTAAAAATTGAAAATATGTAATTTATAAGAAAATAGAAAATTAGTTAACGAATATTACTAGTAATTTATTGAAAAATGTTAATCATATTTTAATAAAAAAAATAAATATATAACATTTATAAATTCATAATATATATATATATATATATAAAAAACTTGCCCAACTATAAAAGTATAATAATTACAAAGAAGTTTATTACGATTTGCAGTTGTCACTCTGAAACTCAAGTAGTTCATGCTTAGAGATAGGATGGAAACAATCTGAACTTTCAGGAATTTTTTTGTATATTCAATTACCATTAGTCTCCTTATTAAATTTAATATAAGTATAAATAACCCATACTTTGTGTGGGGGTGGTTTAATATACAATATTTACCTTTTAGGACATTTTTTTTAAAAATGAATTCCATTTCAAGTGTACAAGCATTAGTTTCCAAAAATTTTTTATTAAGTATGCTTTAAGATTGAAACATTCCTATTGTAGTGTATTAAAGGGTACACTATCATGTAATACAGCGTCATAATTATTATACTAAAAAACCGGTTTTATACAATATTTTCTTGTTTCCGTTAAGGTTAATGACCTGCGTAAAAACAACGGTATAAACGCGAACGTAGGAAGAATTTACGATAAAATGGATTATTGAATTGGGTATTAGTGTACAACTGATAATTTAATTGTCATAGGTAATTTTTTTATATTTTTATATATTTAATAAAAATAATACAATGTTTATGTACTACCAAGTGTACGACTTACTGGTATGTACCTAATATTTATTTTCTTTTTCACGACTTACAGTAAAGGCGCGCAGTGTTAAGAAAGATTTTAGCGTGAGAAATAAAGAAGCTGGAAGAAAGCGTAGGTTACCTAGGTAATTTATTAAGAGTACGCTACACCCGCAGGCGATGTCTCCGTCTTACAAACGCTTAGCAAAGAACAAATTGTTCGAACAAAATAATTCATAATTTAACATTTTTATGTTTAATACACGGTAAATTCGTAAATTTACCTATCTATTATAAAATTTAATTGTAAGAATATTAACTAGTGAACCTCATAGGCTTTTTTTATTGTTGTTTTAAGGCGAATTATGAGCATTTTAAAAATCTAAATTGTTTGTACACTTTAAAATATTCATAAGTCACAATTCATAACTAGGTCCTGGATTTATATGCTTAGAAAACCTAGGAAATATGCATTATAAAATATGCATTTATGCTCTTATTTTATAAAAATATACTCTACAAAATAAAAAATATACAAAAAATCGATTGAAAAAAGTTTTATTTTAATTAAATATAAATAAATAAAATCTAATAAAAGTTATGCGCACTCAGATCACGACAAACATGACTAATGCATGATTCACTAAAACCTACTCAATAAAAGATGACTACTTGTCTCGATAGGTCTCAGATAAGATAGAAAAAGACTTCGCCAAACTACATGGACTATAAATATGTTATTTCAATTAAAATAAGCAAAATATTACATAATATTATGCATTTAAAAACCGTATACTATATGCAATAAAAAATAATCGTAAAATACAGAAATATGCCGTACATGTCAAAAAATGCAAAATAAAACTTTATATTTCGGATCTATTGACTAAAAATCAAACTTGAAGCTTACCTGGTTATATTTTGGCCTGTTCAGAAAAAACATGCAAACGCATATGAATCCGGGCCCTACTCATAATAGGGATTGGAATCCTGTGGATCTTTAGCATGCAATCTACAGCTCTTTGGAGTACGCATTAATATTGAGACCCGTAAAAAATTAATTAAAATTAGATTATAATAAAATGAAGAAAAAGTTTTCCTGATTTAAGATTTATTAAATAATATTATGTTTTTAACGTTTAATAATTGCCGAATAAATTGTTTAGAGTAAAATTCTTATTTTGTATTACGAGTGATTCATAATCGGCGATTTTACAATTATTTGAAAAAATGAACAATTTACATAGAAGTCCGGAAATTTGTAAACCTATTCTAAAAATTAGATTTAACTAAGGTCCGAGATTATTTTAATAATCTATAGGTTTAATCGAATTATTTTTCCGCACTCGCATTATAATTTAAAATTTAAAATCAAATATAGACATTGAAATTCCCATAAATTATGAACTATAATTGATCGAATACAATAAATATACATTTGAAACCCAAGATATTATTCTTTATTTTTATTCAATTCCATTTCTAGGCTTTTATTAGCGCTGGTTATTTGTTGAAGTTTTTCATTCAAATTATTTATTTGAGACTTGATATTTAATTCATCGCGTTTCGAGTTATTTTCTATAAGTTCAGCTTCTTTACTTAGTTCGTCAATTTCGTTAGTATACATTTTCTAAAATCAAATTAGGTACTACATTTAATTTAACTACATTATTATAAAAATGTATTTCAAATTTTATTTAGATTAATGGTGTCACTAATATCCGTATTCCAATACAATTTGGATAATCCGGATATCCGAATGCGAATTACCCGAAAATTTTGAACTAATTGTTGTTTACTTATTAAAAATTGAAATATTTGTTATTTAATTTATAGGTTTCAGACTGTGATTCGGTAAAACTTAAAATTTAAAATTCATAGTTAGACGTAAATTTTACATCCATAGAAAATTTGAATTGCTCGGATTATTCGATCATTAAATTTTGGATTCGGATATGCGGATATCCAAAAATCCGGATTTTTGACGTCACTAATATAGATTGAAAAGAAAAAAATGTAAATCACAATGTATTTAAATTAAATGTAAAAAGTAGGCGAGTATAATAAAAACAACGTACAATAGAGTTTGTAAGTTCTATTTCTTCATTTTCTAATTGTTCTAATTTTCCATAAATATTTTGATGAACTAAACCTTAAATATGAAATGTTTATGAAATTTAATTTTAAAATACATTTAAAATTTATTAGTTGTATAAACATATGCACATAAAAATGTATTTTTATACTTATCATGATAAATTATTTTTTTTTTTATAATATTTAAATTGATTATTGAATATGTATAGACGAAGGTATTATGAATTTATACTTAATATAAGCATTGATTATAGAATAGACTATTCTATAATCAATGATATAAGTATAGATAGGTTAATATGTGATCAATATTACTATGTCAGTAAATCGTATATTTTAAATAATTTAATGGGTTGAAAAAATAATATTTATAAAATATATCGAAATTGAAAAATCTTGACTATTATTTTTAATCTAAGAAGATACCCTAGTTCAAGTTTATTTACCTTTAATAGCATTTTCTATAGATACATTAATGTCCGCAAACTGTAATATAAAATGTTTGTATGCTTTTATGTTATTTTTATAATAAGTAATTACATTTCTTGAGCCAATAATATCCTTAGATTTATTTTTAACTATTGCTTCAGAAGTCGATTTTTTTTTTTTAATTTCATTCACGACGATTTCTTTTTGCTCAGTTAATAATTCTTTATGTCTGTTCTGAAGTTTTTTTAGGTTTTCATACAATAACGTCACCTGAAATTTAATTAATTTCAAATTTTTAAGGAGTGAATAAAAACAATTAAATTTTAACCTGATTAATGGTAATAGGATAATATATCATATAAGGTAATTCAAGTATTAAACAATTTTAACACCCGTGGAGTACTAGATGGATTTATAATATTATATTATATTTAATAATTTAATATAAATCCAACTCAATGGAGTGTTTAGAATTTTTCATATACATCAAAATAAGTATGAGCAACATTTAGGGTAAGAACTGAAAATTCATGAAAAGAATATTCCTTTATTTCTTGAAATTTTCAATGGTGATGTAGAATTCCTGAAACGCCTGTCAAAAACTATAATATTGTTCAATAATTATTTTTTATTATTTTAGATATCTAAAACTTATAGTTGTATGTATTTTTACCCAAGAAAAAAAAAGGTTTGTTTTGTTCAGATTGACTGTGTGCCTGTATATTTTACTCGACTATTGGTGACACTTTATAAAAAGTATTTAAATCACGAGAGGGATGAAAAAATCAATATAAATTTTTTTTTTGTTAATTATTAAAGATTATTATTTATTGTTACACTAGAAACACCAATAAAATATTTATATGAAATTATTTCATATATATATATATTTCATTGAAATATACCTAATACAGTAATACATTAGCTTTTAATTCATTATTATTTTAAATGCCAGTTAAAAGTTATAAATTATAATACATGGTACTTAATATAATATTAGGAAATTTTCATGATAGAAGCGCAGAAATTTAAATCAGGTCACATAAATCTATAAGTGCCAAGTCATATTTCGGCAGCACATGGTAATATATATCATATATTTTTTAAATAAATCTACTTATAAGTTGGCCTAATCTAGGTCTAAAAGGGATTATTTAGATTATAATTAATATTTAATATTGTACTATATCAGTCTAAAACATGTTTTATAAAATTACAATATAATGTCACATTGTATTAAACTTGTTTAAAATTTGTGAAAAAAATACAAATATTCATATAATTTACGCACATCACTGACCATTATCGATACCTATACATATAATATCAAATATGTTATTATAAAAAATAGTATTATAATACGTGTCTGTGCGTAGATCATCACTACATTAAATTTAGTTTAATAATAATAATAATAGAATAAACAACCATAAATCTATAATTTAGTTATAACACTTATAACTTTACCTTATTAGATTGTCTGTCGTCACGTAACCTCACTAAACATGAACTACTCATTAGTTGATCTGTGTACTTTTTTTTAGTTGTTTGGAATAATGAATCTAAGCATTGTAAATCATCATTCAACTTTTCGATATTTTTTGTTGTTACGGTTAATTGAATATTAGACTTGTAAATTGTACTTTCTATATGGCTGTATCGATACAATATTTAGAATATTTAAATGACAAGTAGATGATTTAATAAATTTCTTTTGCATTTTTAAAAAATATAATTATTAAAAAATTAAATATTTAGTTATTGATAGTTATGTCAACTCATATTACTTACCTATTTACGTATATTTATAGTTAAATAAAAACTTAATATGATCTACCGTTTACATTTAGTTATGCGATATAGTATTACAATGTCATATAATATTATTTATCAGCTACAATATTTGTTGAGAAAAATTAGATATTGGAAATATAATTGTATTGTATTTTTAATACCTAAGTAAAATGTGTTATGGTTACTGTAGAAGTTAGGGTATTGTTCATATTTTTTGATCGATTTAAATTTAGGCAATGTGAAAATGATAATTGTTGTGCTTTGATATTGCAAAATAAATATATTACTACTGTTATTAATTATTAAAGAAAAAAATTGAAGTGAACATCCTTAGTTATCACATTGTATTATACCAAAAAATTAAGATTAGGTTAAATTATTGACTAACGTATTTAATCTGGGGGATAAATCTCTAAAAATAATAAAAATATTCAAGTAGGTAACCCATACAATATCTTGATTTAATAGAAATGCAAGTAAAATATTGTACGACATACTTTATATAATAATAATTTAATATTTTATTTGTACTTACTGAATATTTTTAATATATTTAATTTCTAAGTCATCATTATCTTGATAAACATTCATCATGAGTTTATTTCTCTTCTTCGATTCAAACAATTCGTCATTTAACTTTTTTAGAACTTGTGTGTTTAGATCCCGTTTTGATAGAACATTATTAACAAAGCAAGAAGCATTTTTTAAATCTACAAATTGTTTTTGTATATTATAATATTTAAAACTTAATTAACAATTAATAAATTAAAATAGAAGATATTTAATTACAACCATTTAATTATTAATTGTAAATTAAACATCAACAATTACATTTAGCTATTAGTTGCTTGCCTACAAGGGCGCCCATAGAAAAATTTTCAAGGGGGAGGGGACAACATTTTAATTATGTCCATGAGATAGGAAGGGGTTTACAATTTAACATTATACTATTATATTTTATATATCAAACTGGAAGATTATGAAATAATAACATAAATTTATTAAAATATTAATTTACAGATAAAAATTGTAATTTTTTTTTTAATACCAAATATATTTATTACTTGTTTTATATATATTCATTTGTTTTATCATTAATTTGTTCCCTATGTACGCTTATCATGCATAATCCATCAAGTCTATTTCCATTCATTTTAGATCTCGTGTAAACAATTTTTCAAAATTTTCTAGGAGCGGGACATATCTTTCCCTTGCCTCACATATGGGCGCCCTTGCTTGCCTATCTATTGAAGTTTTAACAATTGATAAAACTTTGATAAATACGATGAGCAACATGAAATTACAATATAAATAATAGGTACAGTTTGTTGTTTTTACCTTATAGTTTAACACTTAAACAAGAATATTTAGAATATAGATACATACCTAATTATTTGATGCTTTTATCTTTTAATTTAAAATAAAAACAATAGGTATGGTAAATAATATTTGGTGGTTTTTACCTTTTACAATAAAATTTAAATTTAATAACATAGAGAAAATAATAATTCATAATATTAACATATACAATATCATTGTTAATAACAATATTCTTGGATTAAAATAATCGTAAATATCTGTTCAAAGTTAACTATTATTTTAAACATTCTATAGAATATAGATAAATATCAATTATATAATAATAATACATAGGCATATAGAACCATATTATAGTACTTATAAAATGCATATGATATATTATAGCAGGGGTCGGCAACCCGAGGCCCGCAGAGCAATTTTTAATGGCCCGCACAAAGGTAGTTAATTTTTGTGTTTTACTTTTGTTCAATAACATTTTTCATATAATTTTCAATATTATATAATTCTTTTTCCTTTATAAATAAAATCTAATCTAACTGTTTCATAATAGCAATACAATTATAAGTATTATATCATAATATGTAATTTTTTTTTTTTAATGTGGCCCTTGATGAACAATTGAAAAAAAAAATGGCCCGTGTGGTTAAAAAGGTTGCCGACCCCTGTATTATAGTATTATAGTTAATAAAATTTCATATTTACTTCTTATATTTTAAAGTTAAAACATGATTAAATAACAATTATAGGTAACCTACTTATAAAAACAAAATTCTTAATAATATAATGAAGAAGACACATTTGTATGGGGGTTTTCACCTTCTCACGAAAGTGTATGTCCTTTCAACATTTTTCTTATTTCTATTATTAAAATTATTATCTAGACTTTTAAATACACCAAAAATTATGTTTTGGAACTTTGGAAGGAATCCAATAAAAATGATAATATATGTTTAGAATATTATAACTTTGGAAGACAAAAAAATAAAACCTGTTTATCCATATGCATATAAATTATGACAGGTAGTACTAACTACATTAATAAATTGAAACTAAATAAAATAAACTTTCGGCTATATGTTCGTTGAAGAAATACGTATGAGTAAGTAATTAAGGATATGTCAATGGTTCAAAATAGGTTATAGGTATTTATTTCTATTATTCATAATAAGTAATAACAAATATAATTGACTAATAATTGTTAAAGTTTGTAAATTATGAGAAAACTTGGTATCATCTTAAATATTCTAAAAATGATAAACCTATTTATGTTATCCTAGTTCCACCTATGAATCTTACTTAAGACGTCGACAATATGATTAAATTAATTATCGATTTAGTCAAACATTATATTGAAAATCACTATTTTAAATTGCCATTGTAATATGAATTTATATATGTGAAATATTTTAGCTAAACATTTGTACAATCAGTATTTTTATTTATTCTGGTAACATTTGTTAAATATAAGTAATAAAAGAAAACCTGTTTAAAATTTTTAAATTCTTTTGAGTAAAAAGATTTTGGTAAATATTATTTTTGTTTTTAGAATATTAAGTTATATAATATGTGTAAATGAGCAATTAGCCAAAAGTTTTATTAATTTTGTAAATTTAAAATGAGCACTGTTGGCGACCCTTGTACAATGGCTAATCTATGGTCAAAAATCACCATTTTAATTAATTTTTAAATGAGTATTTTCATGATAATAATATTAAAGGCATTTTTTTCGAGCATAGATTAAATTATATTATTAAAATAATAAATTGTACACATTTATCAAAAAGTTTCAAATTGATTTAAAAAATGTGAGCTATTTTTTTTATAAATTTCGTCCAAGTACTCATATGTGATGATTATTGAATTAAATGTTTTGAAAACTGTATGGACGACCCTTTTTACTTGACTAGATATCTTACGCAAGAGTAAATTAAATAGATAGGTAAATACCTATTATGAGTTAAAACTAGGTACTACAGGTAGGATAGTAATATTGTTATAGTATTAGTGAATAATAGATTTTTGGAAATCTTACTTGCAATAATCTCTTGTTCAGCAAAATGTATATTGTTCATTAACATATTTAAAGAAGTCAGTGTATTGCAGTTCTAAAGCAAATTTATATTAATATGGTTAATATTTAAAAAATGTTGCAGGATAACTTAAAAATTAATAACTTACATTGTTAAATATATTTGTTTTAACAATAATTTAATATACCTACTACTTATAATAAAAGTTATGTATCTACTTGGTACACAATACGACCATTATAAAATATTTCATAGATTAATAGAAACAATGTTAGGCTTTAATACGAAATATATACATGCAAATTATTAGATGTTCTATCAAAATCAAATATTTTATTTGAGTTGAAAAATATTTCATAGATTTTGGTGAAAATTAAAACTTAAAATTCCATTTTCCTGATTTTATAGTTAAAATTTAAATCAACTCTAAATTAAGAAAAACTAATTATTACCTGTTGTAAATCGATAAGAACTGTTTCATTCGCAAGATTATGAGTTATTAAAAAATCAGCCCAATTAACATCGTATAATAGACTTCTGGAATGTAAAATCTTAAGTCAACATTTTAGTGTCAATAATAAAATTGTTAAAAGTATTAGTGTTAATAAGCCAAGAAAATTGACTCACTTACTATGTGTGAACGAGTTTAACGGTATCAATACGCTCGTTTGTTTAAGAGAATCAATATTTGTCCTTACTTCATTATACATATTGAAAAAACTAAAATCAGAATTTATTATATCCTTACTGAAATTTTGTTTCATATATTCTCTAGGAAAATAATTAAAATACGCTTATGATTATTTGTACTATTATTTAAAAACCAATTATTATACTTTTCATTATTTTTAAATTCAAAATTTGAAAGAATTTCTGTCGAAACTTTCTTAATATTTGTATCTAGTTCATAAACACTTAACTTAAAATCAGTAACTCGTTTTTTTAATTGACTTTCAATTGAATTAATCTGTACTAACATTTCTATAATCTGGTAATTAAACGTTAAATTAAATGTATAAATATACAAATAATTAATATCCAACTAAAACTAAGTTGAATATTAAATATTATGTATTAAGACACCTGGTTTATTATTGTACTTCACAACTTTTGTTTTTATAAACAATATGATTACCATTATTAACTTTATTTTATTTGTTTAACAATGAATTTTATCAGATAATTGCATTTATAATTTAAACAAAATTTGAGTATTCTCAAACTGAATATGAAATAAAAATCTAACGTATTGTACTTTGTTAGTTTTTAAAATTAAGCTTTATGAATTTAAATACATGAAGTTTTATTAGATAAATTAAGGCATTTAATTTGGTGTTTAAACTGATGAAGACATAATATGAAATTGTTTTAAAATGTTTATTTAATAAAATTTAATAAATGATTATTTGATTTGGTATTTATTGTTAACTTGACAACCTTAATCATAAATCATATTATTAATTATTTAATAGCAAATAGTATTTAATTATGCTATATGTCTCATATAAGAGTATATAAATTTCAAACAACGATAAATTTTTATTCAGTTTGGTCAGATAAAACCTTTTATTAGTCGATTAAATTGGTTAGGTCTGTTTTTATTTTAGACGAATGGTCGCAAAAGAAAAATTGCTTGACCGTGTTAACTTTAGTAAAATTTAAACAAATTAGGGAATTATTGGAATAATTAAGTGATGATTCAAAGAGTATGGCATTAGCCACACTTGATGCTGCCGCTGTGCGTAGAAGTTTATTATCTGAGGTTAATTTTCTATACAGATTGTAATGAAATCAAATTGAATTAATTAATGAAAAAATTATTGAATTTTTTAGAATACTTTTGTCTCATTTATGGTATTTTGTGAATGCAATTTATTTTGTACGTTTAATGATGTATCTAACGCATTTTTAATTTCAAGGAACATAAGTTTATTTTGTTCAATTTCTCCTTTGATTTTTCTTTTCGATAGTCTATAATAAATTAAAAATTAAAAATCAGTTAATATTTTAATATATTGATACAATAATATGACCTTAGAAATAAATGTGTTGTATTTAATACATTTAATATTTTTTGTTTTGATTCAATAATAGCTTTGTTTTTTTTTAGTTTTAGTTCCATTGATTTTATTGGTTGAGAGATAAATGGCTCTTTGTAATATACAAAATTATCTAAAAATTAATTTCAACACTAATTAACACAATAGAATACATTTTATATGCAAAAATTGAATTAATAATATTGTTCATTTTACTGTCTAATTTTTCTTTATTAACTCCTAAATTTTTGAACACCATATCTGCTTTAATTATTCGTTCTTTGATATCCAAAATTGATTTATGGTATTTTTCTAATGATCTAAGTTCATTCAATACATTTATATACATACTTTTATTTTGATCTAACTCAAAAGGTTGTTCTACAATTAAAAAATTAAAAAATACAGAAAATATGATTGGAAAATAATATTTGAAAAATAATACTTGTTAATATCGATGTGATATAATCAAAAAGTAAATTAACCTGGATCATTTTTATGAATTATGTTTAATTATATACTTTATTTAATAAATAAAAATGTAATGATTTAAAATATTAAAGGCATGGTGCCATGGTAACGCTTAAAATGTATTTTGTTGTAGATTTTTCAACCGCTAGGTTGGTTTTGTACGAGTTAAGTCATAAATAGGTACAAAGTTATTATTCGGTTACACAGTGTTTGATAACAAACTGCAAAAATGTTATCCTACTTGCTACAGCAAATATAATATACATTTATTTGTTATTTATAATTCATGATAAAAAATAATAATTCAATTTGTTCGGAAAAAGTTTAAAAATGTGAATTTTTCATAAATGTTTATAATTTTTTATGAAGTAAAAAAACATGAATCAAATTCATGGTAACGTATTCAAAATATTTTATGTTTTTTTTATCCTTGAATTATCATTTATAGAATATGTATTTTGCATATTATGTTTATTTTATACTCATTTTATCATACAGAGACGACTTCTACAGTTACATGGTGTGTCTGTGTATAACAATATGAATAAGATCTGTTTCATTACAAAAAATAAATAAATAATATTTGGTATAGTAAAAAACAAGAGAAAACCTGGTTTTATTTATTATTATATGTTTTTCAAACCATATTAGTCAAGATCAGAATTTACTATTAGTTTTTTTTTGTTCACCTGTTTAAAAAGGTAACTAAAAAAATGGAAAAATGTTGATAAAGTATTAAAAATCTAAAAACCAAAAAAGCCAAAAGAATTTGTCAAAGTCCAGCAAAACTTTTGAAAAAAGTTCTTAAAGATTTAAACAATGCGTTTTTTTTCACCAAGGATATTATATGAAACACAGATAATATACTTTAAGTCTTTAGACTTAATAAAGTACATAATACTACGAAAAAATACGATCAGTAGGTATCGTACAATTAGCATACTTATATACGTGTTTAAAATAGTAAATACTAACAATTATGTTCAAAAGAATGGAAATTAAGATCAAAACTATATTATGAGAATATGAGGACTGCGAAGACAAAGGAAGGAATATTAGCTTTTAATGTAATAATAATTGATAAAATAATGAGGAATGATATAACTACAATATAATCCATAGCAATTAGCAATTGTGGATATAGAAAAAGCGTTAGTAAATGATGTTTAGGGTTCTAAAAGGGATTAGTATAGATAATAAAGAAGTTGTTTTACGAACTATAAAAAAATGTAACAGCTGTCACAACTTATAACAGTAGAAGTAATAAATAAGAAAGAATCTTTTGTATTTTTATAAGAAAATCAGTAATTTAGAGATGCATTCTTTCACCCAAAATATTTAAAGCAAGTATCCAAGAACTCATAGACATAATACGAAAACAAATCGATTGAGAGTACCTAAAGATAAATGGATGAAAAATTGATATATTACCTGCGCAATACTGACGATAAATATATCAATATTATCTGATAACAAAGAATACTCAGGAATCCTAGAAGAAACGATGATTAATGTCGTGAACACTAGAATTGACACCGCGAAATAAACGAAAGTTGTTTTATGAAATACGATCTAAAACACACACTAAAGACCGTAATCTTTAAGGGAGTCGAGAAACGGAAAAAGCGCTAGAACGCACACGCCTAAGAAGCATCTCATAAATGCGGGGGCGGAAGATGCAAAAAAGTAATCAAATAAAAAATAGTTTTCAACTAAAACATCGATTATCCACAGTCAGATACGGTCAAACGCTAAGGGGGGGGGAGGAATCGATCGTATTTGACACAAATGACTAACTACAGTAACTACCTATACTGGCCACCAGACAAAACCGTCACAGTCGTGCCTGGTACACGGTTGTCCGTCTACTCGTTATCACGGTGTAAGTGAGAAAAAGCGAATGTCACGTGTCGCTCACGCCGTTTCGTTTTATCGCGTTGATCCTGCTTCGGCTGTTGATCGCGATTTTGCTGCTCGAGCCGACGCGGATAGGATTCATCCTGACGCTGCAGCTGATGCGCGATACCAATGTGCCGAGTTTCGTGACAACGCGGCGGCGGGACACGGCTTTGATGTAGCAGGCCACCGCGATCGTCACTGTGCCGATCTTCGAAATCGCGTTGCGGCCGAGAACGATTGACATCAAACGGCCGCAGCAGTAGCTGGCGGTCGTGGTGCTGGCCTACGCTATCGCGGTAACTCTGTCGCTGCATTTCTCGATCACACGGCTTATACGCGGCGGCGGCTGTAAGTGACGCATCATTCTCCTTTCTTTTTTGATCATGATGCGGAAAACCGTCGTATCCACTACGCTCACAGGATCTCTGGGCCATTGGTATATACTCTGTAAACATAAAATTTACGAGCATAATGGACAGAAACCGTCCGTTGCGACTTCTACAACGAAACTGTTTTTACGATATTTCGCCATCGCTAAATTAGGAACCATGTAGACAGGCAGATAGCCTAGTGGTATAAGTAAAATATTTTTAATTTTCGAGATAACAACACATTTTTTTTTTTTATTCAACGAACAAAACTTAGTTTTTTTGATCGTGTAGAAGGCTTATCGGGTCATCGCAACTCATAATCGTAGCGTTGTTTAGAATCGGAAGTTATTTCGTTTTTACCCCATAACAAGAGCCGAAATTTATGCTTAACTAAATTATCTATAGGTATTACAGTAAAGATTTGTACTGATAATTAATGAAGTATGAACAATATTCCGTTAAATTGTAGATATTATAATACTTACTTATACATTGTTGTAAATTATTCTAGGTAGTTGATATATATAGTTGATTAACCGACGAATACGTTTACTCTCAATACCAACGAGTAAAATAGTTGTAACTTACCTGACAGAGAGCAATTGTTCATCTTCGGCATTAACGTGGATAACGTATTTGGCAATTTTTCAATCGGTCTCGTAAATATTTGCTGCTTAGTAGAGGTCTGGGTTTCGAATGGATGTGTTGCTCGCCAATAAGACTCCAAGAACCTAGCCATATGGTCACATGCGTCTTCTAACCGACTTTCATCTAGTATTACGTCAAACAATTTTGGTGAACATTGAGCCAACTTTTCAGATGCCAACATTTGAACAGGGAGATGTCGATATTGTGACTTATCTCGCTTTTTAATTAACTTTAGTAGTATCTGTATACACAATAAAGTATAAATTAAAAATGTATTTGAATTCCATATGTGTTTACTAATTAAAAAATAATGCTTTCTATGTATTAAATATACATTTTAACAGTCTAAAAATGTATGTTATCGTCAATATAATTTAATTATTTAATATTAATTTGAATTTATATCACATTCTAAGGTCATTAAAAAAAAAAAAAATTATTATTGTTTGTATTTTGTTATTTCATGCACCTTCATTACTGTCTCGATTTTGTTTAGACCCGTTACGCATTAATGCATATACATTATTCTAGTCATAATTGTAATCCTTATACGATGTTATTCTATATTGAATAATTCCTAAATTCCCAACATTTTATTTGTGATTTATTTAATTTAATCTTATTGATTTTGAAATCTAGGTTTATTCTTTCATTTTTTTTATTTGTGCGTTAAATTTAATTATCGAAAAAAATATATATTTATACCTACATAAATATAATTCAAAATAAAAGTTATTTTAACATAACACTAAAGTTATAGGAAATAAACGAGCATTTTGTGGATTATTCATTTTTTTTAGTGAATACAATATAATTTAAGTAAAAACCCGAGTAAAATATAGTAACAATTATTACTATGTATAGTTAATAATTGTTTTATATAATACTGATAATACATTATAAGTATATGGATTAAATAAATAAAAAAAATAAATAAATATATTCACTATTTGGTCAGATAGGTCTATTAAATTTTTGATTTTAAATACTAGAAGGATAAAAAAAATATTTAGTATGCCTAACAATCGATGTCTAAATTACAGTATACAAAATAATCTGTGTAAAGCAACTTCTTCAGTCTATTGTGATAATTTATAAATAATTAATAACAGTTTCTTCTACTTTTTGTAAAGCAATCGAATTTATTTAAAGGTATAGTACAAATACACTTACTTCTGGTGAGACTTTTAAGTATATTATGATTGGCGCCAAAGACGTTTTTGCTAATTGCGATGGATAATTAATGGTATCACAATCCAAAACAACAAGCTTTTAAAAAATTTCAAAGAAGTTTCAATTATAATTAAATTATGTAATTTAAAATAAGATTAGAATATATTTCTACTTGTAATGTTTGAGCAAGTTTAAAAATCCGTTCAACTTCCTGTTCCACACAAGCTAATACATGCGATTGCGATCCAAGTTTATATGTTTTCGACGAATTATTATAGACGGACTTTCTAGCCAAGGATATATCCTCTATTACGCGAGTAATAATGATTCTGTAAAAAATATAAGATTCGTTAATTTTTATGTTACATGATATGATCTTTGATTACATGGATTTATTCAAGTGTAATACTAATAACTAATAACTACAAATTATTTATTGAACTATACAAGATAAACTGTATCAGCTTATGTTACCTTCCTTCAAAATGATGTTTCAAAAAGTTGAATAAAGCTTTTTGCAACATATCAGTCACTTCATATCCCTTTAAAGATGGTCCGACAATCACGATTGGTCTCATCGAAGGAACAACATCGTAAGGTGAGAATGAAATATCTTGTTTCTTGGAAAAAATGTTTCTTTTAACTTTTACAGTTGGAATTGTTAGACCACTTCCCCCAGTAGGACTACCATCTTTGGTTAGAAAATAAAAACATAAAATAATCAATAATTGAGAAATTATTTTAAATATTTTAATAGATTTTAGAAACAATAAAAATAATTATTTGAATACCTATATAGTATAAATCTATATATAACTATATATATATATATTATAGTTTTACGGAAACTTGCGTCAGAATTAAAAGAAATATGTTTAAATATAGGTAATTTAAATATAATATGTGTTTCACTCATTTTATTAAATATCAAAGATAATGTATTTGACGTATGAATGAATCAATAGTTTAATGTATGTTTAATATGAATGGTATCAATAAGAACACATATTTAAAGTTTTAATAATCCAATTGAGCATCTTTCATATTGGAAGGTGGGTATTATACTAATATTACACGGAGAGTTCCACTGACAACAGTAGCTATGTATAGAATTTTACTAACACATTTTTATTCTAAAAACGAAATTATCAATTACTAGACATTTTTTTTTTTATCGACATTTATAGAAAAAAAAAAATTCAAATTCAAATTTCTACATATGGTTCAAAAAGTGTCAAAATATTTAGAAAATTATAATATTAAAATTTGATAAAAATTTCAAGTATCTACAGTTATTTATTTTTAGAATACAACATTATAACAGAAATAGTTCATTTTAACTTCAAATATTCATAAAAAATTCCTGATTTTCGGGTGAATTTATCATTTTGTTATAAATAGGAAAACTCAAGAAGAATTTTGTATTAGATTTTTAAATTTTTAGCAAAAAATTTTTTTTTTTGGAATTTATAGTTATGAAATAATTTGAAAATGTTTGCTATTTTGTCGAATTTTGCTAAAATTCTAACATTACATTAAACATAAATAGGAAAATATTGTGATTATGTATTTTCAATACTTTTTATTTAGTATACGAAAAACATTGTATTAAATTTTTAAGCTAACATTTGTTTCACTGATATTTGAAAAATTAAAAATGTAAATTGTCTATAAATAACACAAAAAAATTCAAAATATTTTGAAAATTTTACCACAATTAGAAAATAATAGAATTAACATTTATACAGTAAAATTTTCAATAAATATAATTATATTTTTGAAAAAATATAAAATACATGAGTATCTAGTACATGATCTTTTATTTTAATCATTTTTTGAATTGACTGAATTCTGGTAACTTTGGAATAAAAACCATTGAATGATAAAGAATTAGAAAAATGAATTTAAAGAGATACAAAAGTTGGACTAGTTACAGGAAAAAACATAAAATCAAAGAACAATAAGACAATCTATATCAATCTCCTCTAAATAAGTATATCTAGTTATAGCAGAGTTGTAAAATCAGTAATAACTCAATAGGTATGTCATCTAATAAATATTTTTCCATATTTGTATAACTAATATTATTGTTCTAACTATTGAATGCATTAATTCTTATTCTAGTTAATAGCAATTTAAATTTTATTTGACCTAGTTAAAGTTTAAAATTTCTCATTTTTTTTTCTTCAATTAGTTGTTAAGTATTATATAGGCATCTAATTAAAAGAAAATTTAAATATATATATATATATATAATGGTGGGAGGGTGACATTTTTAAATAATTAATATTTAATTATTTACAGTATCTACATTCATAATATTTATATATTATATCAATGAAAATTACAGAAGTATTATTCAAAATTGTTAATAAAGTGTACAGTCAAATTAAAATAAAATAAATAGAAGGAGATAAACACATACATTTAAAAAATAGCTGTATGCAAATTATTGACCAGAAATAATACAGAAAAATATAGTCAACAGATATGCTAGGAATATGTAAATTAGCTTAAAATATTATAGTATTTATATTTAAAAAATATAATTAACAAATATTATACTTTATCATAGTAATATTTTGCTTATTCATAAATATGCACATACAAACAAAATATATTTTTATTTCAAGAAATTGTTTTCACCATTTATTATTAAAAACTAAACAATAGACAGTAAATATAGTATTATTGGAAAATTACCCAAGTTTGAAGATGTCGAATTTTTGATTGAACCTGGTGATTGATCAATCATACGCATGATTTCAATTTTGGTAGGGGATGGTATATAACCCAGATCAGAACCCTCCTTCACCAGACGACCTATCCACCAGTTGTTATCATACTTTTCCTGTAACAATAAATAAAAATTAAAAATTATTTTTAATTATAATTTATTATAAAACTATATTGTAATATCTATTTTCTACTAAGATTGCTTTACTACTTAAATTACAAAAAGCACTATATTTAATCAAAAAGAATGAAACTATAAAAAGTAAATATACATTAATAATAAAAATAGTTGAATTTGTCCAAGTCCTAAAAAAAGAGATAGTAATAGGAGTATAATTTTTGAAACATAAGTATAAAATAAGCTAATAATTTTACATACTCGTATGTTTTTCAACTAAGCAAATATCTATTTCTTTATACTATAATTTTTAAATTAATCATGATGGATTTTTCATTAACAGTGTTGGGTAAGTTACGAATAAAAATTATTTACATTTTTACTTATTACTCGAAAACCATTGTGTAATGAAATAACTAGGTATAATATTTAATAGTTTAATTTGGTTAGAAAATACGTTAGAATGTTAGATACTTTTTTGATATATATCAACTATCAATCAATAACCCATATAAACAGAAAAAGTATAATTATTTACTCTGATTTAGCAAGGGAACACGTCGTGGAACGATGAAAATCGGTTCATCTACGCATCTCTACGCAATACCCAGCTATGGCCCAGTGACGGCTCAAGGGCAGGGAGGTTTCCCTGGGTCCCGTGCTTTAAAATCATAATTAAGACCCCGCAGATAGTGGTTTTGACTATTCTGAGACTTTACTGAATTCACAATATTTTATTTATTAAAATTATATAAAACAATTTCTATTGTTGATAATATTTCTTCATAATATACCTTCAATAGGATGGTTATTTTTGGATGTCGTCAATCGTCAATCGCAGTGGCCGACAAGTCCGTTCGACAATACTCAAAAAATTTTCCCATGACCCCGTTAACTCTAGTGCCATTACATCCATAGTGGAACCAACCTCGACGATAGTATGTAGCGTTAGGATGCGTTAATAATTTGAGAAACACTACCTTATACTATATTATACTCTTTACACCATTATATTTTAGGAATTGCTTAATAAAAAATAACTTTATTATATTTACGTTACTTGCAAACAATCTTATTTAAATTACATAGGTAACGCAATACAAATAATATTCTTATTACAGTTATTTTAATGCATTACTGTTAATTGTTATGTCATTAGTATTTATTACCCAACACTGTTTTAAGTACATCTTGTATAGTTGTATGATAAGTATATAGAATTACTCCAATAATCGAATATGCATTTAAATTAATTTTAAAATTTTTTTATAAAAAATAATTAGTTAAAATCTAAAATAAATTGGTTTAAATTATTTATTATATAATAAAAAAATATTTCGTTAAAACTAAAAAAATAAAAATAAAAAATAATTCTTTCAGTTTTAAAATTAAATAAGTCATTAATGATTAATATTTAAATTTATAAATTAATAACTATACAAAAAAAATATTATAATTCATTCAATATATCTTGTAAATATATGTATATAATTCAAAATACATTGAATATATTATTTAATCAAAGATTTTATTTACTTAATGAAAATTTAAATTTTTAATCATGTTCATGGGTGTCCCCAAACATTTTTCTAAGAGGGGGGGCAAAATTAATTTAAAAAATAAATAAAGATTTTTTTTTAGTACATTACATGTTTTGTCAGTATAACATTAAATTATTACAATTAGAAAAACAAATTTTAAATTCTAGGGGGGGGGAGGCAAGTGCCTCGTCTTGCTCCTTTCTAGGGACGCCCATGATCATGTTTAAGTACTTACATGGTGCTAAGCATCCGGAATATTTGCATTAATGAGTGTTAGATATTTAGATATATAATATATATATATATTATAAATTAATTAAACTATAATACTGTATAATCATGTGCTATACCTATGATCTAAATATCTAAATCGAGACTAGCAAATCTATTAGGGTTCATTAATTCCCTGATAGTTTTATACATTCCAAGAATAAAAATGTGATAAAAGTAAATGTTATATTGCTGAATTTATTAATTCTAAACTACTTAATAAAAATATTCAAAAGTCACCTTATTAAAACAATTTTTCTTCAAAATTGTTTAAGTAAATTTCAAACTTTAACTCATAAGAACCATAAGATTATACTTTTGTGTATTAAAACGCAGCTGTTCTGTTGTTCCTCTTAAGACAAAAATATTTTAAATAAACATTATGATTTATAATATCGAATTATAACTAATTATAAATTACTAGATAAGTAAAATAAAAAATGTTTACAATTGAATATATTACAATAACAGTATAAAGATTATGACATTTTGAAAGAAATGTACCTTATTAAAAATCAAATATATTAAAATGACATAACATGATTGCAACAGATATCTTACTTATAATAACTTTTAAGTAGATACACTTAATATTTTGTCAAAATATTTATATTTAAAAGTAAACCTATGCATATTTTTACACCTATAGACAATAAGCTTTTATGAAATTGTATAAGTTTCCAAGTATATAAGCATATCAGATTAAATGTTTAGTTAAAATTTTAATGGTTAATAAAAAAAAAAATTATAATACCTAGTAAAAACAAGATATGATCTAAATTAATAAAATTAAATAGGTAGTAGATATATTGTATGATGTATGGTAGGCCTAGAACAAGATAGAGGGACTTAGTCGTGAAGGATTTAAAAGTATTTCAAGAAAGGGCTCAGATAGACATAGCGTACAATAGAGAAGAATGGAATAAGTTTGTGATGGCAGCGTTGGACCTCAATAGCCCTTTAAGCTGTATATAATGATGATTCTATGATGTGTAAATACAGATTTATGAAACATTAATGAATATAAAGTATAAACATTTTATATATTTTAAAACTATTATTTCACGAGTAGGTAAGGTAATAGTACTAAATTGTTTAAGATATTTAAAAGTATCTAAAAAATGAATATGATAAATAAGTAAACAAAATAGTGTTAATTTGATAGAAAACAATTCAACTATTCTATGTCATGACGTTTTAAATATTTAAAACAACAATACTATTATTATTAAATATTAATACCATGTTAACAACATTTATGTAAGTATGAGATATATAATAATTATTAAGTAGGTACTCAAAATGTCAATAAAATACATTTTATTTGTTCGATAAATTGAAAAATTAAAATTATTTTTTTTTATTCAACGAGCAGTATATTATTATTTTTTTCTGTACCAATAACAAACAATAATTTTAATAAAAAAAACTTATTTAACAGTTAATTACTTTATCCTACATAGGTAATCCATAAATCGATTACATTTTACACGGCACTGCGTATATATTTGTTTTTCGTCCTAAATTTCATTAGCCATAGTATTGTAATAAATAACATTAAATAGAAAATACTAAATAAATAAATAAGAATATAATATGTTGTAGGTACCTTGATATGTAAAAATTGTTGAGTCTTAAATGAGATTGAACGACCTTGTACTGGACAGTCGTCATCCATATTGCTTTTGTAAGCGACATTTGTACGTATGGCAAATGCCACTTCTTTCGTCTATAATCAAAAACGAAAATATATTTACTAAAACCTTAGTATAAAAAAAATCAAGCACAACTTTGTAACAGAGTTGAAACAAAAAATATAAGTATTATTTTTGTGTAATTTAATTAAAAAAAAATAGACCGCGCCATTGAGTACAAATGGGGATTATAGGAAATAGCGCGTTGGTTCGGCAATCAAAACAGTCTGAATTATGTTTTTTTGGAATTGCCTTAGGGACGTTCGGCCGTACCGTCGGGTAGGTGCGTCGCAATGGTCTCTGATCCATACCGTCAACAGAATTAGAGGCACCGGACATATTCAGTAGTTTGAATTGTGGATGGTCTCTTACTATGGTCCACGGATCGATTGAAGTATTATGAATTCATCGACTTCGGGTTCGGGAGAATTCGTTTTCACCAAAACAAAGATAGAATGAAACGTTCTGGTGAGTGATTGGCGGTATATTTATTCAACCAGTGGCGGTACTACAATATCAATAATGTTTACAACAGTGTTGTTAGTTAGGTATCTGATAAACTAGTTATTGTACCACAGAATAATTCTGTAATCGCACCAACCAATGTTCACCGAGATTAGAATTTTTGCCACCATTTAAGTAACATTGCATAATAATAATATACGCATAACAATAATATATCTTAAGTCGTGAGTTACAGCGTTATTAAAGAATGTACAAATATTATAATTTATTTTCCCCGAGAATGGTGACACTGTTCTCCTATTGATCCATCCGAATTTCAATTTCGTTTGTTTATTAAATCCAATGGAACAATATGACAAATATTTAAACCGTTTGAGTTTAATCACAAAACCACGTTCTATGTTATTTAATAAAATGTATTTTATGTTTTTATAAAACTGCAAATTCAAATTTGTTTATACATTAACACTGGTGTCTGTATAATTTATTGCATAACAGCAAAAAATTCATAAAAATTCTATTTAACTGCATGAAACGTTATGGATGAACTAATACGCGCAAATATTTTGACTAATTATTCTCAGTGTTCAATACCTGGTATGTACAATGATTAAAACAAATAATTTAATGATGTAATTGATTATTACTTGTTAATACAATTTATTATTTCCACACTTATTTTAGATACCTTTATTAGGCGGCCTAATGCATCAGAAACTGCAGTATCTGCAGAGTCAACTCAAACGGGTCGTTCAGGTGCTCAAATTCCTAATTCTCTTTTTGTCAGAACTCCAAAAAAACATTCACAGCAAGAATCAAGTACAGCAGAACACTTTGTACAATTATGTGAACAATATTTAACACCATCACTTTTGATGTTCGTCAAAAATAACTTGTTAAATAACAATAAAGCTAATATAAAACAGTATTTAAAAGATAAGTATTCAAAAAAACAGCTCGCTTTGATATTATATTTTATTGATCCAGTAATCTTAAATTTAATTAAAAAATCATTTAAGCTTCCATCTTTAAAAACTCTGAAAAAAATTATTCATCAATATGACATGAAACCAGGTCTAAATGATTTTGTATTTAATTTTATAAAGCTTAAAATTAGTAATTTTAAATTGAATGCTTTAGATTGTGTTCTTTATGTAGATCAAATGTCTATTCAATCACATTTTTTTTATAATATTTCTAAGGATCGTATAATCGGGTTCAATCAATTGGGTTCACATAAAACTTTTGATAAAGCAAGACAAGCTCTTGTTTTTATGATTAGAGGTATTAATTTTAAGTGGAAGCAAAAAATTGCGTATTATTTACTGTCTAGCTGTACTGTCAACAATTTAATTTCAATAGTTTTCTCTATTATTCGTCAACTTAAAAATATTAATCTTAACGTTAGAGTCTTTATATCTAATCAGTCAAAAGAATTTATAAATTTTTCCAAAGTAATGAATGTTTTTTCTAATGAGCCATATTTTGATGTCGATGATCAAAGAATAACATATATTTTTAACCCGTCCACTCTTTTGAGAACTACTTGTGATATGTTCTTTAAATATTCTCTCCATGTTGATGATGAGGTTGTGGAAAAAAAATATTTAGACATGTATTTCAATTGTAGTATTTCTAACTGTGATCTTGATTTGAAATTTACATACAAGCATATTCATTCAAAGTCTTTTGATGAAATTAAAGTCAACCCAGCAACACAAATATTCAGTGCCAGTGTAGCTGCACGTATGTGTTTAGCAATGAATTCTGGAATTTTGCCTACTAGTGCGCTACCAACAATTAATTTTATTAATAGTATGCATGAATTATTTAATATTTTCAACAATCCATATAAAAATATTACCCCTCAAAAAGATCACCTAACTAAAATGACTGAGTTCTTTAAAAAAATTAAAGTAATAAACGATTTTGATAATTCAGATATAACGCGTGATGTAAATTTTACAAATGGATGGTTGGTTTCAATAAGTGGTTTAATTATGTTATGGGAAACTCTTAAGCCAATTACTAATAAAGAATATACTTTGCGTACTCATTGGCTGAATATAGATTTTCTGGATAATTGGTTTGATAAAGTAAAAAAACATAATGGTAATGAATTTAAACCTACTTCTATACAATTTGTTAGAACATTCAAAAATTTATTTTACCAAGATTATTTTCAATATTTTCCTAGAACAACTTGCTCAAAAGACTTTGATCAAATTATATGTGAAATGAATGACCAACCTTTATCTAATAATATTTTTAATGTAACACATCCTCAAAAACAAAATCTTTTTAAATTTTCTCCATTTATTATTGGTACAGTAGATTATAGACATTTAAAAATACCAGAGAGAAATAGTTTGCCATATATATGTGGATATTTAATGAATAAATGTTTAGAGAAACACATTTGTGAAATTTGTATTAATTATGCTTACTGTCAAAAATCATTAGACCAGTCTTTTTTAGTACAGTTCTATAAGTTTCATTCTTATTCTGTCAACTCAACTTGCAGTGAATTATTATCATACCAAGACAATTTTCAAGATTATATTGTGAAATTAGATTATATCTTTGAACTTAGTTTTCCTGTAGTTTCAATTGAAGATAATGTTGGGACTCAAATGAAGGATTGTTTATCAAATGTCCGATTAAATCATCCTTGCAATCTTTTTGACAGAACATTCTTGCTTAATTTATATATTCGTTTCAAAATTTTTGCTACTATTAAGTTTTTAAATAATTCAAAAATGTCTGAAGAACACAAATTAGTAGATTCACAAATTATAAGTTAAAAGTTATAAAGATATTTTGTGTGATTAATTTGTTTTTTTTTTTTAACTTAAGAAAATATATTTTTAATTTTGTGACTGTATTTTGGTAAATAAAATGAATATATTATGAATTAATTAAACTATTATCATTATTAAAATTCATTGTACATGTAATATACTCGATAAGACTTAGTATAGTAAAATGAAAAAATGAAAAATGTATAATAATATTTAGTGTGAAAATGTATTTTAAATTTTGTGACTGTATTTTGGTAAATAAAATTAGTTTTAGAATTACAAAAACTTATTATTAATAGTAAAACTTATTGTACAAAATTACACGATAAAACTATAATCATTGAAGGTATGGTCTTAATTATAGATGTAAGATCAATAAGAAACTAAATTGAGCCAATAATAATCAGTAATTTTTAAAATTATGAGTTTTCAAATTAGTATTTTATCCCTGTTGGTGTTGGTTGGGTTAGGTTATTTAGTATTTTAATAAAAAAAAAAAAAAATTTTGATACATCAAATTCTCGCTTTTACTATTTTTCAAACGATTCATTCATTTTCTTACTTTTTTGAGCTAGATTCATCCTAGCATTGCAACGTTAGAAATACCAATTGCTTTAAAATTTAAACATTCATTATTGAAGTGTAGAAAAAAGAATATTTTATCCTTAAGATTCTCGTGAAAATAGTGTCTAAATATGCAAAAACGAATAAAAGGAAATTTACAGCACATGAACATTGATTCTTATTTAAGATACTAAGTACTAGAGAAGTATTCAAATAAAAAAGTGAAGAAAATTCCATAAATCAATTTTTTAAGAAAAGTATTGTTCGACCCAGATCGCCGGGATTCCCACCTCCCGCGCCCACATAGATGCTTTGTCAAGACGCTCATCGAAATAGGTGAATCTTTAATTTTGATTCAAATTTAAATTGTAGTACGAATACCGCTATTAATATCCATCTATAGACTAATCAACTAGGTATAGACTTTAGTCAAGTCAATATTTAACAGATCTAAATACGGTTATGACTTAAGTTACAACCGTGTTCTGTGATAACCACGATATAAAATAGTTTCTCATATATTTCTTGATTTTAAAAATAATTTCCCGATATTGCTTGGTACTTAATACCTACATAATTCGTTGTAGGCGTTATGTTATGAATTTATAAACATTGCACACTAGTGCATAGAAGAATATAAAAATTAACACGATTGAAAATGTTTTAGAGTTATTATTTATTGGTTTGTAATAATTGTGAATCATGGCAAATTTATTTTATTATGTTTGAAACATTGAAAGTATAATACGCTAAAATAGGTAGGTAGGTAACTGATTAAACTAATATAACAGCGTATCAGTGTTACAGAACACTTCATTAAATGGAATTATAGGATTTAGTGATAATATAAATTTTCATTAAGTAAAGTAAATTCAGTAAATTATAGACTTGTCTGGCCTGTATAAATAAGATCGTGTGTACACTTGTTTTCTCCACAATGATAGTTTTCGTTTTTATGATGACATGGAAATTAAGTATTTGACATTAAATTATAACACTAGTAAATAGTAAGTGTTTCTACTAGTAGCTATGTAATATTATAAAAATGATAATAAATTTAAAATTAATAAAATTGTAATATTAGATACAAATCATAGACGACAACGTTACCTAATTACCTTTACCTAGCAATATAAGCAAACAGCGTTGACGAGCACTTTGTTTTTTGGCATGGAATGTGGATGTTGAATAGTTTAATAATATGCCGCTAGATAACGCTGCTATTACCATTAAGTTTTAGAGTAAGAGTAACAATAAATTATGAATATCAGTTGTTTGAAGAGTATAGTAATACTTACGTCCCCGTCTACACGGTAAAATATTTTAAAGGTTAGAAATATTTACTGTGTAGACGAGACTTTTTGACCCAAAAATCAAATAATAAAATTGTAATTTAATGAACAACTTGACCGGCGGAATCAGTGGCGGCTTCGAGGTCAAGAGGTCTCAGCAATCCTCCAATATAGGTTCTTACGAGCCATAGCAGTACATCACTCAACAATCTAAATTAATGAAGTATAAATCGTAATAGGTATGTACGCTTACGGT